TTCCTATCTCATCGTCATCATCGAACTACTTCAAAAATCATCATCTCACCAATTGAGAATTCGACTCTCCTTTTCATTTGGTTTGATGTATTTTTCAAATATATTCTCTCCAACAAGCAAAATAATTTACGTATTTTGTTATTTATTTATGATTCTCTTAATATCTAAGTTTTCTATTTTTTCTATTGTGATGTTATAAAAACACTTATGTGGCTTTATAAGGCAGTGACATGTGGCAATGCAATGATATAAAATGTTTGACAACAATAAAAAGAATCACATGGTTGTGAATAAAGAATTATTTGAAATTTGCAATCCTGCGTAATGGTACCTAAACAACTAGGGGCAACGTACGTCACTCCTCTTAAGGTTGTTTCTGGGGAGTAAATAAACACCTTGGTATTCTACACTCTTATCCTGTTCCATTCCATTTGAAATGGTTATTTACAATTTAAAAAAAATAGATATTAATTAAACTATTATTAAACATTTTAATCCTAAAAAGTTGTATTCTCTCTACTTGTTTTATTTTGTTTATTCAAAGGACTAAACAAAATTAAATTATTGTTTCTTTTCAGATTTTCAAAAAAATTAAAAAATATTACTCACACCATTTAATATGGATTGTTTTCTTGGAGAAATAGGAATCTTTTTTTATTTATTTACTTGTAGAGATATGACGATATAATTAAAAATAACTTATTTTATAAATTGCTGCTTTAAAAAAAGTATTATAAAATAGCGAATATAACGTTAAGGAATTATAAAGTAAAAAGTTATTAACGTAGAAAAATACATAAAAATAAATATTTTTATTGTTTTATAATAGAGAAAATGATAAAAATATATATTATCTTTCTATGTATTTTGCATTTTTCTTTTCACTTTTATATCAATAAAAAACTAAAATAAAGGAGTATATAAAAAAATTATTATTTTTCAAAATCATTTTTTTATCTCTCTAAAATAATACATAGATAATTATATAATTATGTAATTTTTTTATTTATTTCTTATGTTTTTATTCTATTTTATATTTCTTTTCTTCATAATCTTTTTCCTTGAAATCGATTATAGTCTAAGATGGATTAGGTATTGACCAGATGATAAGAATCATTTGCTCATTATCTATTCACCAATACCATTTTTCTTTCTCTCTTTATGTCCTCTTACATTACATACCAATAAAGATATAAAAATCTTAATTAATGCATGTAGAACACTGGTAAAAAAAATTATTAAAAATATTTTATAATGCACTCCTTTAAAATTTTTAATATAACTCTAATAAAAGCTATCATTTTTTTTTCATTTCTTAACTAGTGTGTAGCAAGTCTAATTAAATTAATTTTCATAACGAGTTTGTATATTATTAAGTAATACAAAAATATATAATATTTTTCCACTATATATATAATTTTTATTCTTAAATAAAATGTTTTAACAAGAGAAATATATTTTTATTCTTAATCAGGGTTTTAAAAATACTAATTAACTTGAGTTTTACAATTTTTGAGAAGTTCAAATGATGTGAAATATAGCATAATCTGTGTTTCAAAAACATGTCGGGCTTAATTTTAAAACGTAAACCTATTAAAATGAATAGAAATGATATTTTCACAACCTTAAAATATACTACTCTTAAAAATAACTCTCTTTAATATTATAATTATAATTTATTTTTATTTTTATTGAATTATTTTATAATTATTATATTAATAAAAATAGATTATTTTAAGGGTGATATTTTTATAGGGCTGTCAAAATATAAAGTTGGTGTAATCGAGATGAGTTTGAACAGGGTTAGTTTTTGTGAGATCTTTATGCGTAAGAGAAACGTTGGAAAGTCGTCTGTCCCTTCTTTGGGATATCTTTTTCAATATAAAAATTAGGTTTTCGTGTCGCTGAATGCGAATAAAGATTAGAAAATAATGTTCTTAAAAATTAAGAATAATATATTTCTAAAGTTAACTACGCAAGGTAAGGGCTAGAGTATTCCGCGAGAACAAAAGAAATAAATGCAAGTAGCGACCCAAGGAAAGGGTTAGAGGATTGATTTTCCTTCTTCTGCTTCTGCTTTGTACATTCATAGATAACAGATTGTGTTTGTCGGTGTTTTGATTTTGCCACAACAGACTAATTCATATCATATCTTAGATTAGAGTCACAAAACTCTACTCTTTGCCACAAATGAGTGACCCCAAGTATGCGTATCCCTACCCTGCTCAAGGTCAAGGTAAACTTCTTTTCTTTTTATCTTTGGTTATGCTCACTGGATTAAGCAAAACCTTGATTCTTAATTACATGGATATGGGTCACCTGCAGTTTGGAAAACAACTGCACCGTGTCATTTCTTAATCTCACCATTCATACAAGTTCTTCTTTTCTGTATACATTCAAAATAAAAGAACAACCAAGATAACATATGCAGTTTTTTATTTTTTAAAGAAATACGAGAATATCAACCCTAGATTGTACTCACAATAAGTTTCATCCTCTGAATTCTGAAACTAGTCTGGAGTTGTTTTTCTCTCATATGATATGTTGATGGTGGAGAGAACTACCTCTTTCCCTTTTTAGGAATAGGGATAAAAGTTCCATTTTATTTTTCTTTTTCCTGACTTGGTTCTGTGTTCTCTTTTTATGCATTAATTTTTTTTCCTGTGTGGGAACTTTTGTTGGCAGGGTACTATCAAGGTCCTCCAGTGATGGCACCACCGCAATATTATGCTGCTCCACCACCAAGAAGACAGGCTGGATTCCTTGAAGGATGGTTAGTTCCCTTCACACCTTTTCCTTTATTACATGTATTCTTCCCTTTTTCTTTCTTGCTTTCATCATCATGAGGAACACAAAAAATATTTTTTCTTCAACTTTGTGTAATTGACACAGTTCTTCTTTGTCCCTGCTTCAGTCTTGCAGCTCTGTGTTGTTGCTGCCTCATAGATGAGTGCTGCTGTGACCCCTCAATCATATTTATCAGCTGATAGCATCAAAGTTAATAAAGAAGTTACAAATATATATGCGCTGTGATGTGATGCTTCCAGCATGCTTTAGTTAGCATAATATGCGTAGTGTATTTATTTTGTCTGTGTTGTGCTTGATTAACATATTTTCTTTCCAACTTGGTCGTTGTTGTTCTTGGTGTGTGTGGTTTTGCCTCTCACTGAACGTTGGTTCTTCGGTGATTTTATCTGTAATGTGGAAATTGGAAACCAAACGATTCTTGTGCATTTAAAAAAAAATGAAATAAAAATCTGGTGCATCCAATTGGGTTGGTCCCTACGTTTCCCAATTATGTTTGTCTCACGTCTAATCATTTTGAATTTGGAATTATGAAATGAATAACTTGCATACCGTCAATGTGACTTCATTCAATGCTGTGTGTATAGTTTTCAATAAACCAATTTTTCTGCAGTTTACCTACCCACCTCATGATGTCATGTTTTTAATATACATTTTATGTAAAAAATAAAATAAGACTTTTTTTTTTAATTCGGTCAATATTTTTCGTTTTATTGTAACTATTTTTGTGATAAGGCTTAGATTTTGCACGACCTTGATGGGAAAGGCTCTGGTTCGAATTTTTCACATATGTCTGGATTATAACATACAGATGATGTTATAAAATCTATGTTGCCTTAAATTAATGAATTAAATCAACTAAACATTGTTGAAATAAGTATTTTAAATTAGTTTTTTAAAGTAAGATTTTAAGTTTGAATTTTACAGATTGGAAAGAATATGGTTAGAAAGTTAAAACCTACTTAAATTATTTGGGTAAGTTTTCTAATACAGATATTCATTAAGAAAGTTGGATATACTTTTTTCAATTGCAATCAAAGAAACTTTACTTAAAAGTAAAAAGAAAAGACCAGATAATACTTACATTTAATACTCTTTATCATATTTTTTAGAATAATGTTCCATAGACAAATTCAAATAGTGAAACATCCTTCCAACATTCATTATTTCATACTTTAATTTAAAATGACAATAAGTTCGTTTTATAATAAAATATAATATATAAAGGATGTGTGATGAATTTTTTGTAATTTGGAGAGTGGATATTAGTGTTTGTACATGTGTCATGTTCGGTAGATAATTATGTTTAATATGCACAGTATTTATAACAAATTTCACTCTTTTTTTTAATTTTAATTTTCCTAAATTTTTCAGTTTTTTTTATTGACTTTTCTTGTGTGACTTTTATGTTTTCCTTTTTACTTTTTTGTAAAAAAAATTATGAGAAAGTTTGAAAAATAATAGAATTTACAAATTAACGGAAAGATAACGTGGAAATTCAAGAAACACATGCATGCAATAAATGAAAAGTCAATAAAGTGATGCAATTAAATGAATGGATTTTAAAAAAATGCCTAGTGCCAAATTTAGCAGATGAACTTAAATAGTATATATATAAATTGGATAAAAAAAGTTTGGTTCCACAAATTATTATTTTACATAAATTTAATTTAATAACAAAAGAAAATAGTAAAAAATATATTATTAGTATTTGTAAAATTTACACGCAAGATGTTCTCTTAACTAAAATTATAGAGAAGATAATGTTAAATGATGAATCATGAGTAAAATGGTGAATATTGAATTTCGTTTTTAAGGATTAAATAGTTTTTAATTGGAATAATTAGATGTAAGCAAATTATTCAGAACTCCCAGTTTCATGCATGTCACACAATATTTATCAAAACCCACAAATTCCATCACGAAGGACAAAATTTTTGCAACATGCAGATTTTATATCACATAAAAACATCATAATATTTTACATGTTCAGAACAAGCACAAACATAAAAGCATAAGAACACACTCAGAGGTAGTTGAGAGTGATTATGCGAAGTTGTTTATTAATCACACATTCAATACTTCTCTTGCTTATTTTTCTACCTTTTCTGTCTAAGAAAGGCATTAATGGAGGAGAAGCAAAGATGAGAAGCTCATAGACAAACATTCATATATACAATGGTGACATGTACGCTTCATGCAGTAACTGCTTCATCGATACCACAAATATCCTCACAACCACCACTCTTCAACATATCCGCCCCCTCCTCCACAGAGCCTCCACCATAACCACCGCCACAACCACCACCGCAACCACCGCCACAACCGCCGCAACCACCACTTTTAGTCATATGTCCACACCCACCGCCACAACTACCTCCACAGCCACCACCACAACCACCGCAACCACCACCACTCTTAATCATACTACCGCAGCCTCCGCCACAACCAGCACCACAGCCCCCGCAGCCACCACTTTCCACTGCATTCCCGCAGCCACTTCCACATCCACTCCCACAGCCACTGCCACAGCCTCCACTGGAAAGTCCAGACTTCTTTGATATCCCATCATCTTCACTGAACACATTAGGACTCAACCTCATTCCGTTCAAGACTGTCCTTGCATTTTCCTCACATACACCATTCACCTTCAAATCTTTACTTTTAGGAATGATGCCTTCATATTCTTCCTTTTTCATTTCATTAGCAACAATAAAAGCCAAAATGATTCCGGGCAGCACCATCCACTTTTCCTTTGCCTTTGCAAGACAAGGAGGGAGCAACAAAGCACAAAACAAATTAACTGATGTAAAACAAAAATGTCTCTATAGAAAATGTTTTGAACATATATAATAGCAAGAAAGTAAGGTACCGTGACATGTCTAGATCTCAAGTCAAGCAATGCCACTGCTTTTCCATAAGGCTCTTCTATGGAGAATTCAACAGCTGTCAGGAAGTCCATTTCATTTCCCCGTTTTCCATTGTGTCCCGGTTCATAGTCTAGCTTTCTTCCAGAAAAAATATTCACCTGTACCAAAAGTCAGATGAATTTAATATTATAGCTTTGAATCCGTTTCATTTGGCACATGTTCATCTTTAGCAATCTTTTATGTGCAGCAATGCTATTGAAAGTTGTACTTGTTATTGGATTTGTGAAACATCAAATGAAAAACCATTGTTACTGGGGTGTAAGCTCTTGGAAGGACAACGTATTTTAAAATGGAACACTTCAGAATAATACATACTGTCTTGGCACCGGTAAGCTCAAAGAGATGGCCGTCGCTTGTGCATTTGTTTGGAAGGTGAAACAACCACATATTCTCCAAAACAGACCACCCATTTTCCTTAAACTCGGCTAGAGTACGAGTTTTTCCAGACTTCATGAGGCCAACAATCTCTGTTCCAGTTCCAGGGTTTCCTATGTTCTTTGCATTCTCCAAATCTCTAAATTGTAATTCGACACAGGGAAGATCATTACTAAGCTTAACTAATTGAGAAGAGAATACTGGAGAATATACATAAAAGATAGACTGGAATTCAAAAATGTATGACAAACAGAATCAGATCTAGGGAAATACTTCTTAGACAATTAAATCTGCTCAACTGGTTGAACTGCATTATAAGCATCCTCTCTCTCCCATATGAATTTATGGACTAATGATCTTATTTTGTAGCCACAGCTTTTAATCATAATTGTGCCCGAAGGTTACACTATTTATAACAGTAAGAATCCAACATCTATAAACTGTTTATTATATATTAGGATACACTGAATGGAAAACCTAAACAATATCTACTTACAGAAAGCTACAGTGACAATCAAATTTGGCAAGGAGCTTCAACTTTTATCTGGCCTAAAGTGTATAGACGGTAGAATTTACCTCATTTGAAGGCTGATGATTCTGCTTCCATTTTCATCTGTGACATGTGTCCAGCTATTTGCATGTTGAGATCTAACAGGAAGGTTGAAGAGGCCTTCGTTTTTGGAAATTGGACTAGACAAGGTCATTTTGAGTGTACATGGGGCAGGAACTGGGACAGAAAATGAGATGGCTACTCGTAAAAAGATTGGCTTTGAGCACAGAGTACCAGAACTTGGTACCAACTCCAACCATTTCTCAACATGGAGTTTTGAAACTGGGTCAAGATAGTCTTTTATAGAGAAATAACCTGAACCGATGGTCTTTGTTGATTTCTCGATGGTCTTTGTTGATTTCTTGATAGAATAGGATACGAGTTCAAAAAGCAGCTCTCCCGTAGGTTCACATTGGAAAGATGCAACCTGTTTCTCTCTACATTGTGACCAAATACTCAGTCTTCTTTTAGCATCAAAGAATCCATCAGGCTGTGATTTGGAAAATAAAACACAGATATCTCCTTCCTGTCCCTCCGGTAAGTTTTTAACCCCAACGAACTCTAAGAGAACCTGGTTGGATGTACGTGGAAATTACATATGTTATCTCATAAACAAAAAAAAATGTTTCAGAGATAGTTATTCAATTTATGCCTACATACAAGCAAAAGAGTACACTGTGGCCAGAAGTTGAATAACAAGAAGTCATAGTATATGATCCCCATAATCAAGAAAGATTGTCCTTACTATCCTAAACAACTACGGTTCCATGTGAAAGCAGACATCATTCTCAAAGTGAGACAAATTGTTAAGGCACTAGTATGATACGATTATGCTCTTAGTCTGTATTAGACAAGAAAGGTTGCATTTTGTAGCAGCGTGGATCGGTCCATTATTTAACAGTTACCTCTCTAGAGCCCAGAAAACATGACCTGCTTAACAAAATCCTAACCCTGACGGAGCGTTTACAACAAACCTTTCACCTTCCTTGATTCAGTTTCAAACTGTGTATGATAAAAAGATTTTCAAGCCACTGGACTATTTTAGGCAGAAACATTTGCAATAACATGGATCCAATAAAAGACATACTGATATAAGCTTTTCATGATATAAGGCATGGACTTATATTTGCTTATTTGTGTACATAACTCTAAATGTTGCAAGGACTTGTTAATACACGTATGCACATAATCCAGAGCTATAGCTTAAAACGTGTAACATATAGCACATTAATGGAGATCTTAAAGTACCTCCATAACTTCCCGATCTGGTAGTGAAATTTCTTGTGGGTACTCATTCGAAGAAACAACCTTCTTGCAAGTAATGTTAGATGAAAAAGGGTTACTTGTTATAGGAGATGGTGCATTACCCCTGTACATTGCTCCAGCCTTCCAATATCTTGTACCAAATGTGACTTCCCACTGTTTGGTGGTTCCAGAAAAACCAACATCCAGTTTCTTTCCTTTAGTTCTGTCTGAGTCTGTATCGTCATGTTCCAATACTTTTCCGAGTGCTTCATTTAGGTCTTTACAATAAGAAACTGGATATAACTGGTGAGAGTGCCAGATTAGGTCAATATCATATGTTGGAACGCAAAATCGTTTTATATCCTCTTCCCTGTTTCTCTTGATAAGATACAGAAAGCCTTTGTATCTAGCCACAGCTTCCTTGATAAAGAGATCATTTTTCATGTGGGGTCTTGATACCTATGACAAAGACAACAGATATTGAATCCCTTGAGATGATGCAATATTATGTACTAGCCATGCACAAGAAAGACCATTGGTAAATTAATTTGTAAAAGTTGTTTGTAAACTGCGACTAAACTGAACAGACAAATAACAGAACACTACATCATACAGCCCACATGATATTAATGTTATTTGGAGATGCTTCAAATCACGAATGTTGCAATACAATTGTCTGAACTTAAGATTTTTCAAAACAAGGTATTTTTGAAACTACATGGATCTACTGGCCGTAAAACATAGTCAATCACAAATTGATAAAATTGAAGATGAGTGGGGCTGAACACAGCCTAAACCATGCTAACATTTTAAATCAGGGATTCGAAGACCAGAACTGGCCTGGTAACACTTGGTAGTCCTGTTAGACTATCAAAAATATGAACAAACTCTAACTTTCCTTTACCTGGTGAAAGAATGGACTCTGCCTTTTAGCAGCTGAAATCAGATCGTACTTGGTGTACTTCTCAAGCCTATAAATCTTTTCAGAGATATCCTCTGGGACAATATTAATCAAATCAGCATTGTAGGGCTCATCAGGATACAGCTTATTCCAGATTTCTTCAGTTTGCCCGCCACAAATTCCTTCAACAGTAGAGACAACACCAAAGTTGTCAAGTACCCGTCCATAAAGTTCCTCACAGTCAGATTCGTATCTTACCTGTGTAATAAATTGGAACCAGATTTTACTACTAGTATGTAAACCCAGTCAAACAAACAGCATTGTTAATAATCAGGAAAATATATATATTTCCATTTCCTGGTCTGAAGCCTACCGGATTGAGTCTGTGACAGTGCCAGACCCATTCACAGTCAAGAGGAACTACCAAAGGCCCTTCAAAAATCTGAGACTCAGAATGCTTGGCAAGCAAGGGAAGCCAACAAGCATTGTACCTGAATACACACATTCATTGTTATATGATCAGAAGAAGAAATTAATACCTTATTTGGTTGAAAGGATGGAAGATGATAGAAATGAAGTTTCGAAAGTGGGACACCATACTATTTCTTAATATTTCTATTCTACTCAATCCTCAGCCTGTCTTCATCTCCTTCTCTATTTCTATTCAACTAAACATCTTTTAATTTCTACCTTATTTTTTCATATATTTCCACTTTACTAACTAATTTCTGATCAATCTATTTCGCTCCTCATTCACTTCCAAACAGAAGTTAAGAGATTGATAAACTCAACTACAATGCCAAGCTATCATCTGAAAGCAAATAGATGATTTCAAAAAATAAAAAATTATAATCCATAACACGATTCTAAAGGTCCTTTCCTAAGGCCATTCATAGAATTCTTGACTCAAGCTTAGTGAAATAAATAAATAAGTAATAATAACAAACAATTGTTCTTTGAAACTATTTAAGAATGAAACTTTGTCCGCATCAAATACCGGAAATACTTAATAGAATGTTCACCTATAGATAGCCCTCTCAAGGGCAGGGCCGTCATAGAGGTGACGGTTTCTATCAACAGCTGCAAGGAACTGAAGCTGCTGTTTTGCTGCAGCTACAAGGTCCACGCTTATTGGAATCTTCTGAGCTTCATTCCACTTTATTTTTTGTTGTGGATCCATCTCTCAATTTAACCTGAAAATCAGCAAACTTCCAGCAATATTTTGGTTTAAGTTAAAGTGCCCTTCAGACAATTGTCTCAAAATTTTCTCTCAAGATGGAAATTTTATCCGCGAGAAAACACGCTCCACGAACATTTTTGTTTTTGTTATCCACAATGACCTAAGAGATCTTACAAGAAAAACATAAAAGAAAAGGTCTATAAGAACAAATATAAAAGAATGGATATTATCTACAGGTTGGTCAACGCGAAAATTCAAGAGAAAAAGAAAGGAAACCTTTAAATCTTTCAACTTAACTCATGTAACAAAAACAATCAAATTGTGATCATCCACAACATACAAGCAAAATCCAAGTTCATTATATCACGCCGAGAAAAGAGAACAAAAAAAAAAAGGGATTTTGGGGATTACCAGTTTCACAGAAACTGAGACAGGGATGGTGTAGCTGCAGAAACGGAAGTACCTTAAAAGAATGATCTTTATTTGTCTGACATTGAAATAGGCATTGTATGATTCAACTAGTGTCTTGTGTTGTGTATATGCTATGACTTGTACTAACGATGTAGTACGTCTGATCTAATCAATAGTACACAAACTGTTATATTTATAATCATGACTTGTACGAAAAATATGAATAATTTTCATTTGTTAATAAAATGTATTAGTTAATTTTTAATAAAAATATATTTTCTTTTAGTTTATTGTCCCAGGAACTTTTGGACTTTGATGTAAAAAGAAAGGAAAAACTCATGAACTGTAGTTAAATAATTTGCTTCTGATATACCAACACAAGTTGATCTCAGAAAAAAACACCTTGATGCTGGCTTCACTTCACTCAATTATGGAATAAAGAAAACTAAAGTGACTTTTGGAAAGCTTAATATATAATTTTTTTGGAATAGATTATGTTTACGAAACTTTTCTTTTTCAACTGGCCTCGCTTACAATGTTTTTTTAAATCTATTGGTAAGGCTTTGTGAATTATATTTATTTTAGCATGACATCATGCTTATTTTCCTATCCCCTATAAAATTGTGATTTTTTTTCATTTGGAAGAAAATCATTTTAGTTTTTATTATTTAAGTAATATTATATTTATTTTATAATATCTATTCGTCAAGCTATCATTTAATGCACAATCTTTTATATATATATATGAAGGGGATAGGAAACCAAAAATATTTTAATAAGAGTATAATACAGGTAGAAGAAGACTAATGCAAGGAAGAAAAAAATAATTTTATAATATTTTTTATATTTTTTATAACATGACAGATATTAATGAATAGATATCCACAAAAATGGTAATAATAGAAGACAAATGCAAGAGCCTTGCTCTTGCTCCTCTCATATTCTATTTCGTGTAGCCTTTGTTAACTGAGAAAACGACCATGGTGTGACGAAAAGTAAATATATTAGAAAACGATAAGGCCGAATAATACGTTAAAGGGCAAAGGTTGAATCTTGATGCTTCACGTTATTTCTGATTCCTCCGAAAACCCAACTTAATATAGAATATGATTTCACCACAGTTTTCCATCACTATCTACCCAGAAAACAATACATGGATGATATTAACAATAGGACATGGAATGGAAGTAAGATAAAAGTAGTAAATGACAATTGGTAAATCAATGCCGTGTAATAGTGATTTTAACCAATTTCCTACCACCCAGCATTTTGCCTTTATTCAATGTTTAAGAGAAGTCCCCAAACAATAACTAGGATTCTTCACATAGAACCACAAATTTACCTCCTATGGATATTGATTCTATTATTTTAGGTTCATCCTCAAAATTAGGCGTGAACATAAATTGATTGGGGTTTAGGTGATTTTTTTTTCTAAATTTAATATTTTATGAATCAATAAAACAACACATTTAAGAATATTTAAAAATCTTATAAAAGTAAATAGAATGTTAATATGGCAAAAGAAAATAAAACTAACTCAAACACAAATAAGATTTGTAGGACATTAAAAAAATCGTTGAACTATAACACCCATCAAAAAAAATATTGAATTCTCTTAAAAATTCTCTAACAAAATAAAAAATAAATTCCAACTACAAAGATTTTTAGGGTGCCTAAATTATGTATCAAACTTTATACCTAATATAAAAACATTGTGTAAACCTCTTTTTAATAGACTTAGAAAAAACTCTTAATCATAGACCCCATATATGACCAAAATAGTAATAGAAGTTAAAGAGTTAATTAAGACTTTATCATATCTAGGAATACCACGTCCAAAAACTAAGATAATAGTAGAAACAAATGTTTTTTATTTAGGACCCGGAAGCATACTAAAACAAATATTAATAAATAACCATGAACAAATAGTCAAATACTATTAAAGAATATGGAAAAAGGCTCAAAAGAATTACAACACCATTAAAAAAAAGTTTTAAGTATAGTTTTAAATATACAAAAATTTTAACATGATTTAATAAACAAAAAATTCTTATTAAGAATTGATTGTAGATCTATAAAGGAAATTTTGGAAAAAGATATAAAAGATATAATTTTTAAACAAATATTTATAGGAGGACAAAGTTTATTATTTTGATTTGAATTTAATATAGAATTTATTAAAAGAAAAGAGAATTCATACCAAACTTTTTAGCACGTGACTATTTTAGGATCACAACCATGACACCCCATACAAAATATCAGTCTCAACGGAACAATCTAAAACCCTAGAAAGCCCACAGCCATTTGGACTTTTATATATATATCCAACCTAAATCAAATCAATTCAATGATGATTGAAGAATCCTATTGTCATATTTATTATTAAAATATAAAATTACCTATGAAATGCAAACTGAGTACATGATAGTAAAATGATGATATGAAAAAAAAGTGTATAAAAATATAGACTTAATCATGTTTTTAATCCTGAAATACAGAGTAATTACAATTTTAATTTCTTAAATAAAAATTGAATGGTGATAGATAACCAGAAATCATACTACCCTTCAAACAACTCACTTTTATTAATATAATAATCTATCAAATGATTTAATAAAAATAAAAATAAATTAAAATTATTATTATTATAATATTAAAAAAGAATTGTTTATAGAAATTGTATAGATATGGATTTTCAAATTATCATTTTCCATAAAATTTATTTTAGTCCCTCAAAATTAAAAAAAAATGAATTTAATCTCAAAAGTAAATTTAAAAGGCTGAATTAAATTTCTTAAAATTACTTTTAGGCCTTTGAATATAATAGTTAGAATCTAAAATCATATTTTATTAAATATGAGGGACTATTCTTTTTTTTTAAATTTGTTGAACTAAAATATTATTTTCCTTAAATACTAAAACTACGATTAAACAAAAAATATATTATATAATCAGATGGACTGGTATGGGTTATCAAGTCAAAACCCCAAATACAATCCTATGATCAGAACCAATTCAATTTGGATTGGTACGTTTATGTGCCCACCTCGAATCAAAATGGTTTATCATCATCATCCCTCTTGCACAGGCGGATTCGTCGTAATTTACACTGAGAAGTATAATCCTCAACTTTGCAATGAAAATCAGGTTAAATATGTTAACATCCAATTGAAATGTATTACAATTCTTCGAAAGGGTTGTAACTTCATTGGTTTTTCTCATATTTAGTATTTTCTCCACTTCAACTCTCTATGCTCTTATCCAAAGAAGTCAAGGAACAGGAAACACATTAGCAAGAATGGATGTTCATGAGAAGCAACTTAATACTCTACTGGTTTAGAGTCATCTTTGGTTTCAGACTTCTGAGTTGTACCTTTATCCATATATTCTTGTTCAATAGTATCTTTGAGGATAAACAGCCTCTGAATTACAACAGGGTCAGTCATCTGCTTGGCTTCTCTCAAATCTGTTTCTTCCTTGTTCAGATGATATGCATCAAGCATGATCTTAATCCATTTGTGCAGTTCCTTTGGGGTGCTGCTTAACCACATCAAAATTAAAGCAAAGTATTAGATTAATCACAAAAAAAATGTTTCGAATGAACCAGAAGGATATTGTCTCACGTGTATAGAGCATCAGGGTCTTTGGCTTCGCCTTCATCGCCAGGGGAGAAAGCCCTTGCCAGTGCAGAGAATCGCTCCTCAGGATCTATGATGTTTAACAAATGCTTGAGTAGCTTTATTTCTTTTGGAGTGATACTCCTTAGGCTGCTCTTTGTGGCCTTGTACAATTGGTACATTATATCTTTCACCTGCACATATGATAATGCAGTCTAATAATCCTTCTAAGCATGAGCAGTCCAAATTAAGGTTCCATATGCTAGATAAAAAACAAAGAAGGAAGGTTTTCAGATTATACGGATTGAATCAGAACAGTCAGTTCAGTTTGTTTCCTTTATTTCCGAAGACACCTATAAAAGATTCATACTTTAGATGCCTATCCTGGTAGGTATCAGTATCATCTAGACAAAGACATTGAAACCTCTTAAAATTTCCATCCCAGGTAACTTCATAGTCATAACCGATGTATGTAACTATGTGCAGAATTATGATGGAAGTTGGTCTAGGATCGCAAGTATCGGCTGGATACAATTAATGTTGTCCTATCGGTGGAATATCAATAAAAAAACAAGAGCATCATATATACATACCTCATTCTTCATCACTGTAGATTCTTTTGCTTTCGCCCAAGCACTGCTTATCAACAATATCAATGAAGAATCAAGTTCCTTTGCCTTTGCCAGACTTTTGATCTTCTGACAAGCAAGATCAATAGAAGGAGAATTGAGGATATCATCAAATTTGGCCTGTGCAGTATCTAATGTCTCCACAATCTCTAGAGTATTATCATATGCACTGACAGCTGATAAGCACCTACTCCCCAGCCTAGAAATCCCTGTTCAAATGCAAATGTTAATCATATGAAACATCCTACACAAGGGGCAAGATTACATGTGTTAACTTTTTCAAAGGTGCAAGGGGTAGGTTCATTATGTAAATTTTAAATGGAAGACCAACATTAAACCCTCAAAACTTAATACTTACCAGACACATTTTAAACATCTCATATCTACTTCTATAAAAGAAATTTAATTTTATGATCAGTTCTTTCTTTCTTATGACAAGTTACAACAATAAACATTCTTAACTAGTTTACTCATTTTTTTTCTGGTGATTACTGGATATAGAATTGATAATGGTAGAACCAAAATGCCCTAAATCAACATTTATTTACTCATGTATAATTACCATCACGATCTTCCAAGCTGTCATATGTTTCTGAAATAAGAGAGAGGTAGTGGAAGAATTCTCCTGTAAAGTCTCTTCGCCTTCGTGCAACTATGGCATTAATGTCTGTTGGGCTATCTTGTATTTCCTTGAGGAGATCATTGTGTCCTTCCATTTCATCATCAATCTGCAATGCTTACTCCTGATCAAACAAAAACTCTAGGAAAAAGTTCTAAAGCCAGGCAATTGCATCGATATGAAAGGAAATTTTGATGTACACATTTGTGCTTTCTAAAAAAGAAATTAATTAACAACAAGAATAATAATGTTATCTTATTATTAGTTTAGCAAGAACTTGCAGGATAATGTATCTTCTTCATCATTTCTACAAAACAAATCACGGTTAGATTTTTGTTTTCTACTTATTGAGCCAAAAAAACACAAAGTCTTTCTTAAAAGTGTTTTTGCCTTTTTCAACTTTTATTAAGCAGCAGAAGAAACCATTTCTTTAATCAACATTGGAAGCAAGCATGGTTGTGAAGAATATTGAAAAAAAAAAAATGGAGACTACCTTCTTCACTTTTCTTCGCAATGAAATAAATTTTTCCTTCTGAATTGGGTCATTCTCCATGTCTGCCCTTCTCTGGCACCTACTGTAGAATCTATCCCTGTATTTTTTCCATTCCTCTCTGAATACCAAGTAATTCCTCCATTCTTTTGATTTGGTTTTCTCATTCAAAAAGAAATCTATCATTTTGTCACAAAATTGAGTCATAGTGTAGCCATTTGTAATTTCAACCTCTTGCTCCTCGGCCTGAGCTGTGGAAGCATTGCTAGCATGATGACCTGAAAGGAATTTCGTTGTTAAGCGAGACACAAAAAATTACAACTAGAAATTAATCAGAAAAAAAAAGAAGAAAAAAGATAGAGAGAACATATCCAAAAACAGAAAATATAAAGATGCTTTCTTTTCTTATGGTTTTTTAGCACATCATGGAAAAACAGTGGCATTCTAATTGTTTACACTGTCAACAATTCAGTACTACAACAAAACAAAAACTGCAGACAAATAAATAAAATAGAAAAAAAGAATATATGGAATAATGTGAATTTAGCAGGTCTGCTCTCCCTTCACATATATCACTACCCAACTCTAGAGACACCCTTAACACTTTAAGTAAAGACCAAATTTTAAACTTTTTTTTCATAAACCCATATTGAGAACATAAAAATAATACAGCATACTACGAAATAAACGATAGAGACCAAAGTGATTGGGAAATAGGGGGAAATGATACTCACTGGACAGAGAAGCACATATGATGACATAGGGTTTGAAATTCTGAGCTTTAAGGTTTAGTCTTTGGTTTTGGAAGGAAGGGAAGCACTTTGAAGCAGTATAGGAGGAAGGGGATGTGGGGTAACCTTGGGAGATGTTATTATTGAAAAGGATGAAGGTGGTGGTATTGTTGAAGGTTGAGGTCCAAACCCTGTTGTACCCTTTCATGTTAAGGTTCTTCCTTCAGGCGCAACACCGAAGTGTCTCAAGTTTCACTCTTCAGATTAGAGAAGTTCTGGAGAAAACAGAACTTCGCCTGAATCTTGTTTATATATCATCGTCGTCTTATCCGTTTCATGAACAAGGGCAGAGTTCTTAATACATTAATAAGCACAAAATTATTTCGACAACAAAAAATAGTGATATGTGTATATTTGAAAACGAAACTATATTCATAAACTATTTCTTATGATTTCTTAAAAGAGAAATTGGATATTATTTTTTATTAATAATTTTTAAATCATTAAATATTGTCCATAAAAATACTGGTGTTTGGTTCATCTTATTTTAAAAAATTAATTTTATGGAACAACTTTTATAAAATAATAATACTTTTATAGTTAATTTCTCTCTTTTTATTGTCAATTATTTTAAAAAATATTATTATAAAAATATTAATAAATTTATTATAAATAATAAAAATTAATATTTATTTTAATTCGTTTAACTCAATTTTAAATAATAGATATTAAAATCTAAGAAGTATTTGTTAATTATAAATATATTAAAATATTTTAGTAAAATAAACTTTGGGAATTATAAAGTGTATTTAATTAAAAGGTAAGCATGGGTACATTTAAATTGATATAAAGAAAGTGTTTTAATCTTTCGTTAGGAATTAATAGCTGATTGAAAGAAAAATTGTATATATATATATATATATATATATATATATATATATATGTATATATATATATATATATATATATATATATATAAGGATTATGATAAATTTATTGTGTATATGGAAATATAAATATTCTTTTGAAACTTTTTAAAGAATTAACTTGAGAAAAATTGTTAGAAAAAAGTACAAAATAATATATATACGATGAATATCGAGAAAGAGAAAATAATAAAAACCAAAAAATAGCTAAAAAAACTCATAACATATATGTCACAAAATTGGTAAGTGTAATAATGTAATAATACTATTATGTCATGATTATTAATACTTTAATTTTTCTAAAAAATTCGTGTAATATTTGATAATTTGTTAATTACAACTACGTAATAAGTTTAGTAAAAAAAATTGTAATTCAAAACTAAATTTGTAAATTTTTCAAACACATGAATACCATCGAATTTTGTTAAATGAAGATGTTAAGATATGTTTATATTAAACTTGTTGAAAACATGATTCATTTAGAAAATAATGAAGATATGAAAAAAATGTTTAGATTAGATTCCATCTAAACAAGAAAAATTTAGTAAGTAAGGAAAATATTATATATTTAAAATAAGAAAAAAAAAAAATATATATATATATATATATATATATATATATATATATATATATATATATATATATATAAAGAGATAAGGAATAATCTAGCCATTAAATTTATGAAGATTTAGATTTATAAATTAAATTAAAAAAATTGAATTTTGTGATCAATGATATAAATAAATAATTTTTTATTTGTAAAAATACTTTTAAATATACGAAAATTGAGAATGTTTTATACACTTAGAATATAATTCTCATTATTTTCAATTTTCATTTTCATATCTCAAAATACTAGGACAAAATTAAGTTTTTATGTCGGTTATTTTGACATTTTTATATAAGAAATAAGTCCAATATTAATATGAGAGACGTAAATTTACGTCAAATTTAGGATAATCGACATAAATTTACGTCGGATCCTAAGGGTAACCGAATAAATTTTGTCTTTTTTTTTTCTTACTGTCCATATATCATATTTTAATAGATAATAATTCAAACATACAATATACAATTTGCAGTCCATATATCATATTTCTCGCAGTTAAAAGTTATCTTGCTTCGAACATTTTCCGTTTTCTTTTCATAATAAAACCCTAATACACAAAACAACAACAACCTAAACCCTCAATATACAAATTAGAACAACAATAAAAAAGTAGGATTCAAACGCATAGAACATTAACTACAACGTTTAATATCAATAACAATTTAGTTAAAACATTCAATTTCAACATAAAAGAAAAGATAAGACACATAGGACACTAACCTCAAGTATACAAAAAATGTTGTAAAACTCGAATTCAATCGACGAGAAATGTCAACCACTACAAATGGAACACAATGAAAGTATTTTCATCACTCATTGTGGTTGAAATGTACTTTAAGAGGAGCTGGTAAAAAATCCTTACTGCGCGAGACGAGAGAGTAATGCAGAAATAGAATAAAAGAGGACTTTTACGTCACTCCATTATGGGTCCGACTTAAAAGTTTCATCCAATAATTATAAAATTGTCACTCCATTTATTTTTAAGTCGGTTATTTTTAAATCCGAAAAAATTTAGGTGACGTAAAAGGATCTTCTGCACTAAGGAAAATTTATATAATGATTCTCTACGTACTTTGAAAATATTTATTAAGCGACATTATCTATTTTTTAATAATATCTAATTCTTAGTTTTATAATATGATATTGAGTTATATATATTTAAACCATTTGAAATTTTAATTTTCTTTTATTTGATTTTATTATATAAAAATTAAGTTTATTTATATTTTTAGAATTAAAAAATAGAATATTATTTTAATTTTTTTAAAGTGTGAAATAAATAGATTTTTTATTTGAAATATCTATATTAAAAAAAATTATTTTTTATTTCTTGTTTTAGTTAAAGTTAGATCGCATTCATATCTCTCAAAATATAAAGTTATTACTTTATTGTTTAATATATCTAAATCATAATTTAGAATATCATTATCAAAATTATAATACTTGATTATGAGATAAAAATACATATTTTAAATTTTTAATATATTTCTGATATGGATATATCATATATCTCTTAGATAAATTCCGATAATTTATCAGAAGAATTCATTGATATATTATAAGAGAAAGATGAAATCGATTTCCTATTTTAATTTCTTGTTATTATTTTGACTTTTTGTATTTGAGATTCGTTTGCTTACTTGTTTCCTATGATAAGCTAAAGTTAAATTCACTTAGGTTAAAAACGCTTATTGTGAAGTGCCACATGAAAAAAGTGTAAAAAGTTGGTCATAAAGCTAGCTAACTATGATAGAGTTTATCCATTTGTGTATTTTTCAAAAACGATGGGAATAAGCTTTATCATCCAGACGAAATTTCAGATCATCAGTTAATATTCCTAAATGATCACTCAGTGATAAAGGAAGTAGAGATAACCAAGAGCTAGAAGTAATCACCCTTTAAAGAGTACGTAATAGCTCATTGATCGAATGTTATGAAAATGAACGGGACTAAGTGATCTATTAAAGTTGTGGGATGTCAAAATAAATTGGTAAGAGAGTGTTCAATATCTCAAAAATTCAAGAATTCATTCGCAAGGTTCGTCCAGGAAGAACGAGTCAAGAGTAAGATTAAGTCAAAAGACGAAATGCACAATCACCCGTTTCATTCTGGAGCGAAAACAATTTTCTTAATCTTCTATTCTAAGGGAAAGAACGTGAAAATACCCATTTGATATAAAAATGGATCTTTTGATAAATTATTTTTCTTTTCTAACTCTAATTAATATTCAATTTTTTCTATATTAATTCTACTTGTTTGATTTCGATAAGTACAAATTGGAGTGTCATTATTTTCTCTCCTCTCTTTTCATTCATTAAAAATTTTCATTAATTTTGGGATTCCTTGCGTTTTCACAATAAATTATAATAGCTAATATTATTGTTGATATATTATGTCATTTATTTCAATTGTTTGATAAATGCGATTTTATTTTAAATTTTCAATTGCTCACAGATCAGGAACATCAAAAGCTTTTGAAAAATATATTCACTTTCTTTACACTTAACTACCATTGGCTGTATACAAAGAATTACCATATACAATTGACTTTTCCTCCTCAAGCATATTCTCATTAATATAAATATCGTTAACTAAGAACGTTATTGAGAAAAGTTCAATAAAAGAAAAAAAAATAAAAAATTGACGGCAGCAAAATGTTATATAAGGTGATGTGATGGTTTGATTTCTTGAATTGAATTAAACCGATAAAAACTAACTTGAATGAAAAATAGTGTGTTTTATCTTTTCTTTCCTCGTTCATAAACTTAATCTTATTGTATTCCTACATATTCCATATATATTTATCCTTTTAGTTAAACTGTATTTGATGTAAGGGTGTTTACTGAATATAAGATAAATAAGAATAACCAATATAAATTAAATTAATTTACATTTTTAATTAAATAATCAGGTACAATTTTAATCAAATCAATTTATCGCTGATTATGATATTAGATTAGAGTTTACAGAACATTGAAACCCCATATATATATATATATATATATATATATATATATATATATATATATATATATATATATTTTTTAACTATAACTTTAAGAGCTGTTGGATACATGTATTTATATTTTTTATTCGTAAAAATTACGTTATGATGTTTACTTATATCTCTAATAGGATTTTAATCGGGATATAAGGTGATTTTTAATTTTCAACCTACTTTCATATTTATAGAGTGATCTAATAACAATATAAATATTATTAAAATTGATGATAGTAGTTATCCATCACTCTTTTAAAATATTTTGTTTATTATTCGTCTTATTATTTGTTAAGTATCTATTTGGAAAAAAACTTGTAAAGTTGTATACTTTTTTAAAGTAAAATTTTAAAATTATTCTCTAAAATATATATTTTAAAATTTAATGATAAAATACTAAAATAAATAAAATTAATCTTTATAAAATATTAATTTAAATAAATTATTTTAAATATGAATTTAAATAATATTAATATTTTAAAAATAATTCTAATAAAAAATAAATTTATAAATTAAAATTCTAAATAATAATTTAATAGTTAATGTACCATGATATCGCCCACTAAAAAAGTGATTAAAATATTCTTTTTTATTACTTCTAAATATTCATTTAGAGTATTCGTCTTTATATCTATAGCGTATGACTTTTTTTTTTTTCTACGCTAAGCACTTACTATGCTAGAAATGAAAGAATGTCTTACTTTATATTAATTGACTAGAGGTTTATAAAATCAACGTGTGTTCCACAACAATATGAGTAGAGTAATAAACTAATAAATCTTGTTAAAATAGAGTTAGAAACGGAGAATTATAATTCAATTTTACGAAACTAAGTTTAATATATGATAATTTAATTATATATGTAATGAATTAAATTAAATTAAATTAATTCGTTGATAATTGAATTAAGTTGGTTTTCATTAGGTATATTATTGGATAATATTCTATCCAAACCAAACCTCGTGAACAGTCCTAGATCGCTAGTATTTATCTAATATATGTTGAGATGGCATTGTGAAGAATTCTAAGGCAGAATCCGATTTTTGCGAAGTTAAAATTTCGTTTCGAGTTTATCATGACTGAAAATAGACAAAAATTTGCAAAAACAAGTTGCATATATAGAGATAACATCCGTTGACATTTCACACTTAATTTATACAATTAATTCATACAGATTAACTTTGCAACTTTTCATATTTTAATATATATTAGTTTTAACATATTTTATAATAAAAAATTAGGGAACTTTAATCAAGGAATAAAGTTATAATTTTATTTAATTCATTATTTTATATTAATTTAACTTTCTACTTTAAATATTTATGAAAGTTGTTAAAAAATTATTATTGTTTCGCAATTTTTTCACATAATAAACAAACAGTAAAAGAAAATTTGAAATATTTGTACTTCGTTACAACTCCATGACATGTTTTACTTATGTAAATAGTAAAATATATAGAATAACACATTTTTTATCATGTTATATTGATTACGTTAATAGATATAAATACGTTCATTGATGTTTTAAATGAATAGTTATTTTTTAACAATTTACTTGCATAAATTATTTTAAAAAATATAGGAATAATGTACCTATTTGTATAAAATTAATAATAAATTATGACTTGCTATTCATTAGTGAATTTTTTTTATCATGTTAGTTGATTCTTTAGATATTACTAAAAAAATAATAATAAACAATTTTTAATTAATAAAAAAATTAATTACTACTTTTGATATGCCTTTTTTTAAATTGAGAAACTCCAGTTTAAAGTTAAAACAGGTAATTTCAATTGTTGAGCAGAAAATGAATAGTTATATTACGTGTACATAAAAAATGCATTCGTTGAAATATCATCTGCTGATTTAGAAATTAACAATGATATACATAGATACCCAGAACATAATGTACGATAATAAAATAATTTCAGTTTTACACGTGTTTAACAAACACAAAAGCTTGAAGTTAATAAAATTCAAAACAATTATTTATTAGAAAAAAAAGTCGTAGATCATCACCAAAGCTATAGATCCAAGGAAAAGAAATGGCAGCTTTAAGAAAATCGCACTTCACTGTCCTTCAATATTTGTTCAACAGTTAATGGTAACTTCAACATGGACAAGGATCTTAAGCCGCACATTGAGGCACAACGTACGGCTCAATATCCATTGTTGAAAAGGATGGTGTTATATTATCATCATTTCCCAATAAATCTTATTGCATTTAATCTTTAATATCATGCCAAAAAAAGAAAATCAAAAGTAACCAATTTTTGTTTTTCCAATAGTGTTCATAAAATTGGTAAGTCCGTTATCATTACACGTAAATACAACAATGAAATATATATAAATCCAAAAAGGTGTGGTTCATAGCCAGCCTTTCTTTGCTGAATATTATATGAAAAATGATACATATGCATGCTTAATGTTTAAGAGAATATAATCTACCAAGCGATGAAGAAAACGAGAAGCCACTTTCACATTTTCGATGGAAACAAACCTCAAATGGATTCTTCAATGAAGACAGCATCGTGAATAGCTTTGGAAGCACCATCTTCACCGGCTGCACAAAGTCCTTTTCTCAGATGCACTCTTCCCTCTCTTTTAATACATCCTCAACCCTCCACCCCTTCAGTTTCGGAGCCCTTTTGAGTAGGCTCTACTGATCTCAACATTTTCTCAAACGCTGAAATAAACTTCCTTCACCTTAACCTCAACTATGACTCAAGCCAATGGCCACCACCGTGTTCAAACAGCTATTGACATAAAGAAACCACCCGTGAGCTTCACTGGGGGTCTTGTGTTTGAGTGCCTAACTTACACTGTGAGAAAAGATACCAAGGTGGAGGGGAAGTGGTCGCGTGAAGAGGTGAATTTACTGCATGATATCACTAGTTATGCACCAAAGGGTTGCATCACTGCAGTGATGGGCCCTAGTGGTGCAGGAAAATCCACTCTCTTGGATGGCCTTGCTGGGAGGATTGCGAGTGGAAGCCTTAAAGGGAGGGTCTCCTTGGATGGTGCAACTGTGACAGCAAGTTTGATCAAAAGAACTTCTGCATATATCATGCAGGAAGATAGGCTTTTCCCTATGCTAACTGTCTACGAGACTCTCATGTTTGCTGCTGATTTCCGCCTTGGACCACTCTCATTCGCTGATAAGAAACAGAGGGTGGAGAAGCTCATTGACCAGCTTGGCTTAAGGGTATTGTTTGATATCATTTTAAGCTGTCACGAATCAACAATTCCAAAGCTTAACGAAATAACAATGATTTATGATTTGTCTCCTTTAAAATACGCGTAGTTTAGATAATAAAGTATATAGTAATAACTCTCAGTCATCACGGCACCAAAACCTCGCAGACAACACTTAAGATCATGATCAAAAAAATTGTCTAACCGTGGATATATAAATCTTTATACTTCATTCTCTGCAATGCATCATGCATTCTATATGTAATTATACCATATATCTTTAACTGGGTCAAGATTACCTTGGGCTGAAGTCTTAAAGTCTGTATATATATGCATAGGTTACCTTGGACTAAAATTCAACTTTTATTAGAAGGGAATGCAAGTAACAAGAAACCAATTACTCAAAATTGTTGTTAAATTCTCTTTGTTTCTAGTTACAACTTTTTTCTTCTCCTTCTCTTTTAAGTGTCAATCAAAACTTGTTCCCATATTTTAACCCGTTTATCCTTGTGCAGTCATCTCGGAACACTTACATAGGAGACGAAGGAACGAGAGGAGTGTCCGGCGGAGAGCGACGGCGCGTCTCAATCGGCGTGGACATCATCCACGGCCCATCACTTCTCTTCCTGGATGAGCCAACCTCAGGGCTAGACTCCACCAGCGCCCATAGCGTGATCGAGAAAGTGCACGACATCGCACGCAGCGGTAGCACCGTCATCCTCACCATCCACCAACCCTCCTCCAGAATCCAACTCCTCCTCGACCACCTCATCATCCTCGCACGGGGCCAGCTCATGTTTCAAGGCTCGCCGCAAGACGTGACCATCCACTTGTCACGCATGCCACGCAAAGTCCCCAAGGGAGAGAACCCCATTGAACATCTGATTGACGTGATCCAAGAGTACGATCAGAGTGAGGTTGGTGTTGAAGCACTTGCAGAGTTTGCACGCACTGGCGTGAAGCCACCTCCTTTGTCTCACCAGCAACAATCCCTGTCCTCTATTGCACCTTCTGCCCCTTTCTCGCACCATGGCAACAGGTTTGAGGAGAAATCTATGGAGTTTTCTCACTCGTCGCAGGTGAGTAGAAGGTTGTTGGACGATTTTGATCACAGTCTCAGAAGTCCGTATAACAACACTTCCATGTCGTGGAGCACTGGGAATAGTGCAGCATTTCTCAAATTCACACCTTCACGGCTTAAGAATGATCACAAGCTCCCCAATAGCACAAGGTATATATATGTTTCTATTTTACCCCATCATACTATTGAGAAAAATTTAAATATAAATAAAATTAGTTAATTGTACGCTAACTAAAGAGTTGCTTTATATAATTTAATTTTGTTAATCATATTTGAAAAGTATTTTTCAAAATATTATTTATTGAAACTTGATATCAAAATGAAAAATATTTAAAAATAGAATCTCATTTGAATGAAACTTGTGGATGGTATAGATTAAATTTATTATTTTTTATTTAAAAAAGACAATACGTGACCCATAACCATCGATGATATCTAAAGAAAAATATAAATTTTATAATAATTAGACGGGTAAAAATATAACTTACTAATCTATATATTTTCTTTTTCTAATTTTGATCTAAAGAAACAATATCTTTTATTAAAAAACAAAAGAAATCTTGTGAGCACATATTTTATTAAATAAATTGCTCTTGTAATTTATAATTTTAATTTTAATGAATTTTAAACAATAAAAAAGGAAAATCATTATAAAATATACAAGAAAATAAAATGAATGTAGAGTCAAATATATATATATATATATATATATATATATATATATATATATATATATATATATATATATATATATATATATATATATATATATATATATATATATTTGATCGAAAATTGTAGTTGGTAATGAATTGTGTGATGCGCAGAAACGATGCTTCACCTGGGTACTACACGTACTCGAGTGAAATCCTTCAAGCCACTCCGACACCCCACAGCAGTGACTACACAGTGAATGAGAATGACTACCTCACTCCCTCAAATGGCAGACAAGTACAGCTTGGCCCAAAGTTTTCAAATTCTTACCTAACAGAGATATGGATACTCATTCGCCGCAACTTCATAAACATCAGGCGCACCCCTGAGCTTTTCCTCTCAAGACTCATGGTTCTCACCTTCATGGGCTTCATGATGGCCACCATGTTCCACAACCCTAAACAAGATTTGCAAGGAATCACCAACCGCCTCAGCTTCTTCATCTTCACAGTTTGCCTCTTCTTCTTCTCTTCTAATGATGCTGTCCCAGCCTTCATCCAAGAAAGGTTCATCTTCATAAGGGAAACTTCTCACAATGCCTATAGAGCCTCCACTTACACCATTGCAGGCATAATCACTCACATGCCGTTTATTCTTCTCCAAGCAGCTACCTATGCAGTCATTGTTTGGTTTGCCCTAAAACTTCGAGGCCCTTTCCTTTACTTCTTGCTTATTCTCTTCGTGTCTCTTCTGTCAACTAATTCATTCGTGGTGTTTGTGAGCTCAGTGGTGCCAAACTACATCTTGGGTTATGCTATGGTTATTGCCTTCACTGCATTGTTCTTCTTGTTCTGTGGATACTTCTTGAACAGCCATGACATTCCCCGTTATTGGCGTTGGATGAACATAATTTCAACGATGACATACCCTTATGAGGGGCTCTTGATGAACCAGTATCAGATCAGTGATCCCTTTGGATTTATCGATGGAAAACCCATTACCGGTTTTCAGATCTTGGATAGTCTACATATCAAGACTGATGGACGTCGGAAGAGGACAGTGGTGCTTATAATGTTTGGTTGGGCTGTGCTATATAGGATTTTATTTTACTTAGTCCTTCGTTTTGCATCAAAAAATCAGAGGTCGTAAGGGAAAGTGTGTGATTTGATTTGTTTTTGCATTGCACACATTGTTTTACGATGGAGGAACTGTTAAGTATGTTTCTTCAATGTGTTGTGTTTACATCAAGCGTTATAATAAAAATTATATAACTTGATGGACTTTTTTTATACCTCGTACAATAAAGTAAAGGAACTAGAGAAAGCTTTCTTACAAATCACATATTGGATTTTGTTATTTTGCAGAGATTAAAGAAAAGACAGAAACTTACCACTGATCTGGCTTTTTTTCATTGTTTTCTTTAAATGATTGGTATAATGTGTATATGAGTTTATGGGAATCTGATGAACTTCCTAATCTAGTGCTGATAATCTTTCTAAGGTTAGATTTTCAGAAAAAAAGGTATTTTCAAGTAGAATTTTCCTTAATTTAAATCTAATACTGACGCGTATCATGCAGTGTACAAAATTTTCCATAGGAAAATGACGCAAGAATACTCAAAAAACTAAATTAAGAGAAAAAGATATAGGTAATATATGATGTCATAGAAAGAGAGATAGAAAAAATTATATACTGATTTAGTGTTTAAAAATATAATAATGTAGAATAAAAGTGTATAAACATAACTATTGTTTGTATATCATTCTTTTATGCTCAAGTATGTTTTGTATATAATCCATGTCATATATGAATATAAAGTACAAAAACATGAAGTTCCATGGTGGGGTGGAGGGAAGAAAAATAGAAATAAAAAAAAAAAAGATACAGTTTTGATTGGTAGAGGAGGAATCGTGGAGAAATAGAAAGGAAAGAGAAGAAACAAACGGAAAATTGGAATTGGTTGGTTGAGTGAAAGTGTGTGTGTTTTTTCTTTTTTAAAATTTGAGATATATAAGAAATAATATTTTTATCTATTTGATATTTACTTTCATTTATTTTATTTCTCTTTAAATTTCCTATTTTCAATAATTTTGTCCTCTATATTCTTATCCAGAAAAAAAGAAGATAGTATAAAATAAAATAAAAAATGGAATAATAATTAATTATTCTACCATTGAAAGAAGAATTAATTTGACATAAAATCCATTGAAATGAGTGAAAACCAAAATATGAATCGAATTCGAGAATCTAGGGATTTCCCGTTGACGTAATATAAAAATATCATGAATGTTTGAGTGGATCTTTCCGATTAGATTGACTTTATTAGAGATGAATGGAATGTTATGGTGCCAACTGTTCCATGATTTTTTATTTTGTTTTTGAAAGATAATATATGGAGAGTTAAAGATTGGCTTTATAATATATTTGTATCGTTAGCAGACAAAGCTTAAAACAGAAATGTGCTGGTAAAATCCATTGGAAGTATCAAATTCGCTTTGTCGGGTACAGGCAAGCAAACTTGAATGGAATAATAATCTTTAAAATTTATATATTATATATAATCAGGAAAACCTTTAATCATACCGAAAAGGGTAATTTAACAAGAGTAGTGCCAAGATGATTTATGAAGAGAATTACAATTACACGTAATGTTATTATAGAAAATGGGATGTTTATAAATGTAATTAAACCAAGTTTTTCAGAACATACAAAGCCATATTTGGCAAAACCTTTCGCCTGATGTAGCAAGCATGATCATGACTGCATCAGAAAAATTTAACTTGAATCCTTTTAGCAGCTTTGAAATTACCGGCAATATATAAATTTTCTATGCAACTTGTTACTGGGACTAAATATTTATATTTTTTTTACAGAAAGAACAAGTTTATATTTGAATAGTTAATGAGATGTACTTGAACGTATGATATGGATTGAGATTGACTAAGCAAAACATCGTCTGTTAATCATATCAACATCTATCCTTTCTGTATCTACAATGCCTTCCGATAATCTAGATTTTTATGCCTCTAGGTAGATAAAATAAAAATAAAATTATATCATTGGAATAAGCCAAAACTCATTTACTAAACTGAAATATAAATTTTACCTGCCAAGCCAATGGCTGTCTGAATTAGAGAAAGTTAAAAGGGATTTAGTAAATAATACCAGATAAATTACAAACTATTTATATACTTTCCTAATTCTCAATCATCATTTGTAGTTAAATATGTCACTTTTCAACTCATCGTGATAGCCACTCCAACCTTTACAACTCGAGGACATCGTTTTCAACATTTTTTTACAAATTTTACAAGACAGTGGAGTTTTTCTTCAGATTAGAGACTCATTTCGTTCACATTACTGTAATAGTTGTTAATCTAATGAATATTTTGCATATAGTAGAATCACAAATTTCCCCATTATATAGATCATTGTGGAGAGTGTCTAATCACTACAATAATCCATCAGGTTATATTTACCCTATGTTTGGTTTTACGTTAAAACCTTATAACATGGATTCAAAACGTAAGAAATATAAAACTACTATACATTCTTCTCCTTTTAAAGATATCAGATGTGAAAATTGACTGATGCAACAGCTCCTTAGCACTCAACTAGAGAAGAGTAAGAAGAACTTCAACGATCTGTAATATTATTAAGCTTACAAACCTTAAAAGTACTCAAACATAAATTATTAAATTCTAATTTACCTTAAGGTTTACATTACAACAAATTTAATCATGATAATACTATGTTCACATGTTGACCATATGACTTTTGACTCAGTTTGTGGATTTTTTATTCAATTTATCTAACAAGCTCAAACACAAATGGGAGTGGATCCTAATCACTCTTTCTTTCTATCTAATAAGTTAATGAAAAATATGTTTATAAATAAGGAATAATGAATAGGATGTAGTATGGAGTCTGTTTCTATGCCCTTTGGAGTTTTCTTTTCATATGACTAAGAAGCTATATATGAGATTAGGTAAACAATATATTGACCAGAAATTCTGCTAAACTTTGATAAATGGCTGTTATAATTTCAATTGTCAAGTAATTTTGAGTCTGGTCACGCTTAACAGTTAGGTTAGTATTACAAGGATGTCAAGGGGTTTACCTGCTCTTTTGGGGTTTCCTTGAGCCACTTCCTCTTGATACTTGGTTTCAAATGTTTATCTAAGCAAAATATTATAGAAAACATGAAAAGGAATAATTGGTGTGTTGATAGTGCTAGGCATGAGATTGAACAGTCTCGTCTTTGAAACTCACAATTCCTATCTTCAGTAATTCTTTATTTGAATTTTCTTTTCCCTATAACTTCATTTCCTAACTAATTAGAAACCAGAAACATGAGACTATAACAATAATGCTCATAACCATTAGTATAAAAATGCATAGGTCAACATTAGTGAAAGCTAAGTATACAAATATATAATCAATATCTTCAACGATACGTCACTAACAATTGCTACGCATGTATACCAGAAAAGTTCAAATAAGTTCCAATATACCACTTTGTTTTTTGATCATGTAGCATCCATGGTTTCAAATGAGGGAGGGACGAAGGCAGAAGAAGACGAAGGAGTGGTCTGTCAAATTATTTTAAACCATATCAATATTAAATACACATAATCCAGCAACCACCACCACCACTCCATGAAAAATAATGTTTAGCATCAATAACATATAAAACTATAAAAGAAATAATTAAAAATGGATTTGTACTAATTCAATCTCCTTACTCGTCTTCCATCTCTTTCCTAGCTACTACCTCCTGCAGTTTCCAGGCTTGAAGTCAAACCCCTATTTCTCAACGATAATTGTGCTTCTAACCCTCCATCCAATTCAGTATTTTTGCAAAATGGCTTCAAGATATTTCACAAGAGACAAGTTCTCGGAATTATAGGATTAAGCAACCTTTATTTCATTTCCCTCCCGTAATCTGAGATATAGGAAAAATCAATAGTGGTGCTGATCAAGGCGGAGAAAGAAATGGAATGCAGAAGAAAATTTATGGTACTAGGTGGAAGATGAAGTGTTAGTTGGCATGATTCAAGGTTGTCAAACCAATGGGGTAACCTCTATTTCAGATTATGATGGAGTTATCAGATATTTGGATATTAAGACTGGTTGTGGTATTTGCTGTTTGTCTGCATATATTTATCAGATCAGCTTCTGGCTCTACAACTGAAGGTTAGTAACTAAATATTATAATTCTTTTAGCTCATGATGCCTTTACTTGGGTATGTTTTCCAATAATTATAGTGAGAAATTTAATAAACTAAGGTCAACTGACGATCATAGTTAAAATGGGGGAAAAAAAAAAACTTAGTGAGGATGAAGAAATAGAACTGGTAGTTATACTTTCCAGTTTCCTCACAGAAAGAATCTTAAAACCATCTTACACGTTCTTTTATTTATGTTGCCCAAATTTATTAGAGGGAAACCCCCTCTTTGTACTAAAAAAATATAATCTGTGACATTTTTTGTGTAGGGTTTGAAAACATAGCCTGCTGTGCTGATTCAAATTACACAGATACGCAGACCACCTTAAATTACCAAACAGATTACACATGGTTCCCTGATAAAGGAACCTGCAGAAGAACCAAATTTGAGTTGAATCAGAAAGTTCGACTGTTTTTAATAGATGAAGGAAAGAGATGTTACAATTTGCCAACAACTAAGAATAAAGTATATCTGATAAGGGGCACATTTCCATTCGACAGTGTAACTTCTTCTTCCTTCAATGTTTTAATTGGAGTAACACAATTAGGTGCAGTGAAACCATCCACGACCCAGGATTTGGAAATTGAGATTGAGGGAGTTTTTAGGGCTAACAAAGACTACATAGATTTCTGCTTAGTGAAGGGGGAGGCGGATCCCTTTATTTCTCAGCTTGAATTAAGGCCATTGCCTGAAGAGTATCTACTACATGATTTACCTCCCAGTGTTTTAAAACTGATAAGCAGAAATAGTCTTTGGGGCACAAAAGATGAAATCAGGTATGTCATATACTTAGAAGTAAACTCTACCTTCAGTTATCAAAGAAGTGTATCTCCTAGAAATGTACAAGGTTTAGGAGTTATCACTTTATGGTTTTTCTGGAAGCATCATAATAAAAAAAAATGGAATGGATGTTAAATACAAAATCAACATATTGAGGGGATAAATAATTGCAATTTGCATATCGTCATGCTTTAGACAGAATCAATTTGATCACCATCTACAAGAATCATACCGACAAATGCATGAGATAACCTATCTTCACCTAATAGCCGGAATTGTAAGATGCATTCACACCTTTATGTACAGTTTTTTTTTTTTTTATGGTGCAATAAGATGCATGAGAATGAAAATAACAACAAAACAAGAAGCCAGAAATTAATCACTCAATCCATTAATAGTGTGACGCACAAGAATTAGTCCACATATATACCATAAGTGGTGCAAACTGCAAAAAGGGTTTCAATGGGATTTATCATTAGTTTTCTATTGAAGTGATTGTGTTTAGTGTTTCATCTATAACTTTGTTTTGCTTCTTGGTACCATCACAGAACGGTTTTTAATATGGCTATTTACCAAATTATAGGTTCCCAACTGACCCAAGTGATAGAATGTGGAAACCAACTTCAAGTCCATCATCTGCTCTCCTATTGTCGTACAATGTTAGCAATTTCGACATCAAGTCCAACATGACCCCACCTCTACAAGTCCTACAAACAGCTCTTACCCACCCTGACCGATTGGAGATCCACAGTAACCTTGAGACTGAGGACTATGAATATCTAGTATTTCTCTACTTCCTAGAATTAAATAGCACTGTCAAAGAAGGAAAAAGGGTGTTTGACATCTATGTTAATAGTGACATTAAAAAGAAGAAATTTGACATATTGGCTGGAGGATCCAACTATACATACACTGTCTTGAACGTTTCAGCAAATGGTTTACTAAATTTAACCTTGGTCAAGGCATCTGGTGCGGAGTTTGGACCCCTTTTGAATGCTTATGAGATCTTGCAGATGCGAACATGGATAGAAGAGACCAACCAAAAAGATGGTACGTGTGTCTGTTGTTTTCCTACTTTTTTGGGTGGGGTTATCACACTTAGGGTCTGATGGATCAAACTTCTATCGAAGGAATTCCGGAAGAAAAAAGGGGAAATGACCTTTACAAAAGTTAAAATAAGTTTATGGATAAAATATTCTCATGTAATCTCTCTGAAGTGTTATTTTTTAACTTCTGCGCAAGCTAATTTTTAACTTGTGGAAAAGTTCATTTCATTTTTCTTTCGTAAAATTCCTTATGGAAAATTTTGTCCAAACAAACCTTTATCTGTTTTACATTCCATTTTCTTATTCATTTCTACACTTAGGTTGGTGTATGGCTGTATTTTAATTTGTAACCAATCTTCAATCTCTTTCTCTCTGACACAAATATTTTTTTACTTCAGTGGAAGTGATTCAGAATATTAGAGAAGAATTGTTGCAAAACCAAAACAATAAATTGCTAGAGAGTTGGACTGGAGATCCTTGTATTTTCCCCTGGCACGGAATAGTGTGTGATGGTTCAAATGGTTCGTCTATTATCACCAAGTTGTAAGTCCTTAAATTCTAGTTAAAACACTGCCACTTGTATATCAACTCAGATTATGACTTCAACACTGGATGGTGACAGTAGAAATGAAGTGTATATCCCTGGGTGAATTTTATCCATAGTGTCAGAGATTTGACTTCTTACGTAATTCAAAACTCTCACCTGAGAGTTTATGAAGAAAATAAGAAAAATGTATTTTTCCTCGAAGTAATACTTTACCAAACATGCACTCAGTCTCACAAATTTGTCTATAGAAATTCCTAGTCAAAGACTAAGGTAGATAATGGCTTTAATGCATTGATACATGAAATTTTCAGCCAATCAATATCTACAATTAACTAGGTTCTTGTTTAGATAAATGAAGTGTTTTCTTGATGTGCTTATTCCCCTTTTCATAAACTTTTAATTGTTATCTACATTTTTTTCTTTATTTCCAGGGATCTTTCCTCGAGTAATTTCAAAGGATCAGTTCCTTCTACTGTTACTGAGATGACCAACTTAAAAATACTGTATTGCCTTCAAAACTCTTATTCAATTGCTTCTGCATTTATTTTTGGAGGATAATCTGGGACTCTGTTTTATGCATGGATGTAATTATTTGGTGATGCGCAGGAACCTCAGTCACAACAATTTCAATGGTTATATTCCCTCGTTTCCAGCATCCTCGTTGTTGATATCAATGTAATTATCCCTTCTAACGTTTAGCTATTACTATGGATGACACATACTGCATTATATGATTTCTATTATACTTGTTTATGTTATCATGAACAATAAGCAGAGCCATTACACTTAATTACTAAACGAATGCAAGCAAGCTTCACTCTTACACAGCTCAACATGCATTTACCTGAAATTTGACTTGGATGGATGGTAAAAATTGCATGATTTCCTCCTGTTACCAATGTCATCAAGAAAATTACCCACAATTGAAACTTGTTCAAATGTTGATTGGTTTATATTTATCGAGCAGAGATCTGAGCTACAATGATCTTATTGGGTCACTTCCAAAATCAATTGTCTCACTGCCATATTTAAAATCTTTGTAAGTATTCACGAGTTGTCATTCTATTTCATCCATATCAAGAAGCCAACTTTAATTATTTAGTTTTTAAATATACTATCTACAATTTTTTTCTTATTCTCTTCATTCATAGGTATTTTGGCTGCAACAAACACATGAGCAAAGACACTCCAGCAAATTTGAATAGTTCACTAATTAATACAGAGTATGATGCACTTTCTGAAATACAATAACAGAAGCTTTCAGAAGTAAAGCATAACTTGATTTCTTTTAACATTAATGTTTCAGTTACGGAAGATGCAAAGCAAAAGATCCTAGATTTGGACAAGTATTCGTCATTGGTGCTATTACATGTGGAACACTTTTGATTGTACTGGCAGTTGGAATCATTTTTGTTTGCCGCTATAGACAAAAGTTGATTCCATGGGAAGGATTTGGTGGAAAGAACTTCTTAATGGAAACAAGTAGGCATTTTGTCTTTCTTTAATCCCTTTTTACCCTATGTCTCTCTGCATAATAACTTTACTTTTAAGATTAACAAACACAAATATACTCACTTCACTTTTTAAATACAATCCCAGATCATAAGATCAATGAATGGTCTTGAAAGATATCACCTTTATTATAGTACATTGGTTTATATACAAACAGAATTAATTTTAACTTCTATTGGCTTCAAAGAACAAGCAAGTTATATTAATGAGATTCTGCAGTTCAGAAGAAAGGTTTAAAGAGCCATACATCTTTAATTGCATTATCCTTCACTATTTATAGAACTCAACAGCCTCTGTCTCCAAGATTAATTCCACTTTTCTTCTATTGTTAAGCTTGTAACTCGAGAACATAACTATATCAAATTTAGGGTTAAGCTACCATTTCAGTTAGGAACTTGGACACATAGTGAAGAAAGTAACCAAGGAGAAAATATATTAGAAAATTAACATAAATTGTGCAAATTGCTTCTTAAATGACTGTTACAAGTTTGTATTCCATACCTGTGCACTTAGCACAATTAGTGACGAGAACTTCACGGATCAGATTGCTATCAATGTGCTTTGTTCAATTTACACTGAATATATGACATAATTTTCTACAAAAAAATACAGATGTAATATTCTCTTTGCCAAGCAAAGATGATTTCTTAATTAAGTCCGTATCAATTCAAACATTCACTTTGGAAGATATAGAGGTGGCCACAGAAAGTTACAAAACATTGATAGGAGAAGGAGGATTTGGTTCTGTTTACCGCGGAACTCTAAATGACAGTCAAGAAGTGGCAGTGAAAGTCCGGTCAGCCACATCAACTCAGGGAACTCGAGAATTTGATAATGAGGTACAATAGTCATTATTTAGTTTATTAGATTATCAAAGTTCCCAGGAAATTTTCCTAACCAACTTTTTTTGGCTGCAAGAGTAATTCAAAAGCTGATGCTTCAATCCTGGCAAAAGCTAAAGAATATAATAAAAAAAAAAACTCTTTTTCTCACTATAATCTTTGCCCTTACACTCCCCTACCCCTCTTTATTTAAATTTTAACAATGGACTACTTTTCCACCATCTGACTAGTCTGTGATGTATCTTGCAGCTAAACCTACTTTCTGCAATACAACATGAAAACCTAGTGCCTCTTCTTGGTTACTGTAACGAAAATGATCAGCAAATTCTGGTGTATCCTTTCATGTCCAATGGTTCTTTGCAAGACAGACTCTATGGTAAATATTCCAAAATTCTTTCAGTTTATTTGTTTCAGTACCCCTTAATTCTAAAATTCAACTCTGTAACAGGGGAACCTGCAAAGAGAAAAATATTAGACTGGCCAACTAGACTCTCTATTGCTCTTGGTGCAGCTCGAGGCAAGTAATATGATGTTATTTTTTACTAAACTGCAACAAAAATATACCTAATCATCACATAAGCTTGAATCATATCAGGAAGGAAAATAAACCAAGAGGCATATAATGAATAAAAAAACTCAAGGAAAATTGTAAGCAAAGTGATGAGGCCTTACTGAGTTTATAATGATTAAGATGAAGGTGTTTGAGGGAGCATACCAGAAAAATCAGACAAATCACATGCATTTCATAATAGTATTTCCATACCCAATGACAACGCTTTTGACACTCAAACTATTACATAATTTTTTTCAAACAATTAATCAATTTTCGTTTTAATAACTTTTTTTTTGTTGTGTTATTGACACTTTTCAGTGTTCACGGTAATCTTTTAAAACATTAAATCTAGCAAATAATGATTTAAAGTGGAAGCGGGACATACACATGAACTGAATTCTTGATGTTAACATTTTAAAAATTATAGATTAGGTGTAGTCAGACTATCACCCCAATAGAAATAAACATAGCAGCAAAGAAAGCCCTGAAATTTGGGGAAACTTGAGGCCACAATTCCTCACAAATAACATGAAGTTTTTAGCAGATTCCAAGTCTAGCATAAAATAAGTTATTCTAGCCTCTGTTGTTTTAGTATTTTAGATAAAGGGAACATGGTGAGATTTTCCGGGAGAGACAGGAAGCACATCACTGATAGCTTTTCTACATATTTGCAATACACTGGAAGAGAGAGACAGAGAGAATATTCACCAATTTATCTAACCATACTTTTATTGGTTCATCGTGAATCTACTTTAATATAAAGAGAAATATGGCATGATGCACCCTTAATTTTCTTCAAAAGATTGAACTAGTTGCTGACCTAACTATCTTCCCTACAATTTTCATCTGTATCATGTTGAATGTTAACAAATTTTCTGATTAAGCAGGTTTGGCATATCTTCACACATTTCCAGGACGTTCAGTAATACACAGGGACGTGAAATCAAGCAATATACTTCTAGATCATAGCATGTGTGCTAAGGTTGCCGACTTTGGTTTCTCAAAATATGCTCCTCAGGAGGGAGACAGTAACGTTTCCCTTGAAGTCAGAGGAACTGCAGGGTACCTGGATCCTGAGTAAGTGGATATTTTCCATATGGTCTTAACCTGAACTTCTCATACTGCTTTACTCCATAACTTTGAGCGAAATATTTATTACACTTTTCGCATAACGGATTCTAGGAATCATCTAAAAAAAGAAAAATCTTTAAACCCAAATAATATTTGAAAATGACTGCCCGAACTTTCCTATCATTTACCGCATCGAGTTTTGTATCATGGAAGCACTGTCAACTACAGACAGATTGAAGAAATGTTACTGATTAGATTTCCTATATGTAGTGTATATTTATTCATAAACGTACAGAAACTAGACCGTTCCATATATCCCTATCTACAAATTACAAGGGATAATTATCTGTGATTTCAAACAAGATGGAGAAGAATCTGTCACTTCCATTCCTATGTTTCCTGTAATACAAAATGCAACAATGATCTAAACAACTTTTACAATATCAGAAATTTCTCCCCATGCACTGCAGATACTACACAACCCAACAATTATCTGAGAAGAGTGATGTCTTCAGCTTTGGCGTGGTTTTACTTGAAATTGTGAGTGGTAGGGAACCTCTAGACATAAAGAGACCACGGAATGAGTGGAGCTTGGTTGAATGGGTATGGTCCATGCTCTAAATTTTTTATTTTACTGGATTGTACTGAATCACATTTTATTGACGAAGAAATTGCATCCATTGCAGGCTAAGCCATATATAAGAGCATCAAAGGTGGATGAAATTGTGGATCCTGGCATAAAGGGAGGATACCATGCAGAGGCAATGTGGAGAGTGGTGGAAGTAGCACTGCAATGTCTGGAACCCTTCTCAGCATATAGACCAAGCATGGTGGACATTGTCCGTGAGTTAGAGGATGCTCTCATCATAGAAAACAATGCATCAGAATACATGAAGTCCATTGACAGCCTCGGAGGATCCAACCGCTACTCCATTGTCATAGAGAAAAGGGTGCTTCCCTCAACTTCATCAACAGCAGAATCAACCATCACAACCCAAGCCTTGTCCCACCCACAACCAAGATAGTAAATGGATGAAAATGGAATTCTTTTCTATTCGTTTTTCATAACTGCTTTAGTTATAATACATTTCAAATGGTAAAGGAGAAAATACTACTCGTTTTTGTGATTGTACTTTCATCCACTCTACGCATCTTCAAACTAATCTCTCTTGCTCAGCCTCATTTTAATGAGTGGAAAGAATAAAGCGGGTCAAGTGCAAAAGGTAATATCATTTGCTAAGTCCAAACTTTTGAATAAAGGTGAATGTGCAAAAACATCACATTTAATATTAAACATCCAAACTAAATTGACATTCTTAGAATCACCTATCATTTTCAGCACATAATGAAAACCAAATATAAAATTCATGAGAGTACTATGCCAAAACTCAACAAAATTAAGAAAATCTAAATTTAAGCAGACACTATCTATTTCTAAAGAAATCATACCTAATAAAATTAAAAATATCTCTCCACCAAATAAAGTTATCTTAATACTCAAGATTATCAACTTATCTGCACGTGCATTGACTATGCTAGTCCAAAAGAGAATTGCGTAAACAAAATTGATTGTGATTTTAATCTTAAGACAGTACAACTGTGCACTCAACAATTTAATCTTAAGACAGCACAACAGTGCATTCAACAAAGCTATAGACACATTGGTTGGGCTTGGACTAGTTACATAAAGCAGGACGAACACCTAAATCTGTGAGGAATATACTAAGTCCAGCCTAGCAATTATTTAAGGGTCCTTTTATCTCTTTGTTTGGGTTGAAATATGTCAAAACAAATATGTTAGTAACTTCTATGTTCTTTATTATTATTGTAGAATAACGATTGAAATACTGGTGAAAAACTTACAATAGTTGCGTCAGTATCTTCCTAGCTAGATCAACTGTTGCTGGACCAAGAATGTGTTTGGCGTAAAGATCAGACATGCGTTGTTTCTTTAGGCAGCATTCATAGAATGCAATTCTTACAGAATATTTCAAGTTTTGGACTGTCCAAACTCTCAAATGACACGGAGGGGAAAGAAAGGTTTTATTCTGTGAAACAACTTTATTAAAAGAAAAAAAAAATCATTAGGAGCCAATCATCCTCTTTCTGATTTAAACAAATGATTGACTATTACAAAGCGTTATTCTAGACAAGTTATAACTTCCTTATGATATTCTATTTACAATTTATTTTTTTTCCCGATATTCTCAACACATTACTATCTTATCTTACCCAATCTCCTCATCTTTCTCCCAATAGTAGAATAAGTTATAGAAAACACGTGCAGGAATAAAATTTCTCATTTTTAATAGGCTTGAATGGATACATTCAAAATGTACTTATAGACCAAATAAATCATAATTAATGTCCAAGTGCTTGATTGAATGAGATAATGTACGGCAAAAGAGATTGTCAGTGGGGCTGGATTCAATCAAAGTCATTTTCATTTCCGTTTCACACAAGAGAGGAGGGAAAAATTTAAGCTAGTATTTATCCTCTTCCGAATTAGAAAGACAAGTACTAAAGATATCAAAGAGCCAGTTCGCACACTCTTCTTCCTCCCCTTTTCATCCCTCGTATGCTCCTAATTAAGAATTTACGAGTTGATGGCAATACCAAAGAAAAGGTCTGAAATTGTAGTCACATCATATCTGCCATATTATGCAGTAGAAATACTAAAAGTTAGCATAATAAATAATTTTCTGATTAAAAGGCAAGCTAGAGTTCCACGGTTATAGAAAAGTGACAATTTTCCCCTCCCAAGGAAAAATGACCTACACAATCATATTGAACAACGAATCACTGAGACTTTCGCATGATCAGCTTCATAAACTAAAATGCTCCTTCCACGTTGTGAATTATGGCTCCTTAAGAACACTCAAATTAGAATGCAATGAGAACAAGCAAAAGAAAAGTGGAAGGAAAGAGATTGGGCAGAATGTGAGAAATTCAGAAGTTGTCGAGAATGCGTCAAAAATCTGTAAAGGGCAATCTTAACATTCAACACTCTGTACATGGAAATGTCAAACTCAGGATACCGTTTTGAAGAAAAAAGATGTTGTGCAGTCAGTACAGATTAAAACCACATGATAGAGTATAAATGGTACTTTAAATCGTGGTGTGACTTATGTCACATCATAAAATTAATCTGTGATAATCCATTTCTATCTAGAGGACAAATCCATATTCAGTCATCTGAGCTTCCTTCAACTACAAAATGGAAGGTATAATAATAAGACTCTCAATCAATTGATGTATTCTTTCGATTACTATAATTAAGATGACTGATATGTCAACATTGATTATGCATTAAAAGTACATGATTGTTAGAAATTGAGGTATCAAACTTAATTCTAGAACACTGACTTACGAAGAAAAGGTGTGCCTTCATCTATTTAATATAATGTTATCGTATTTTTATTTAATATAATGTTATGGTATTTTAGTAGAATAAATTCCATTATCCTTTCTCAATTCAACGGGAATTCTTTATTGTACTCTCCCCGTTGAGGGAGAGTTTTTTATCACATCTCACAAGGATTTTTTTTCATCGTTTCCCCTCCCATCGAGGGAGATATTTTTTATGAGGGGAGATTTTTTCATATCATTAGAGAAGAATTTTTAAATAATCTCAACATCCATTGTGATCCCATTTTATTCATAAAGACTACTTAATTCAACCTTCAAAACTAATTCAATAAATTAAGGTTTGTACTCACCTGTGTCCAATAATTTTATTAACATGGGATTTCATTGTTCTCGGGGGCTCATGAGTCGCAAATGAAGCTGAGGTCTCAGACGAACACCATTTATCATGAAAGCTTAAGCACAATACATGTGCAATGAAACCACATGGCTACAATGAAAGGGACTAACAGCCTCTATAGATAAACAAAACCAAGAGCTAGAGTGACAAAACAAAGCATGACACTGATCAAACACTTCACTTTTGATTTATAAACGACTTACATATTAATAATTCCGTTTAGATTTTACATCATAGGTGTAGAGTGCTTACTGGAAAGCCGTATTACAACACAAAATCATGTAGCAAAAAGAGAAGGGTTAGCCGAGGCATTGCCCACTTGAACTTCAAGCAGTTCCAACCTGCGCTCCAACACATCCAGTTTCTCATTTAAAGACGCCAACTTGCTCTTCGTCGTAGCCTCTGAAAAACACACATTAAAATTCAAAGTAGCAGAATAAAAACTCAAACTTTGAGATGCTTTTGGCGTGATTCAAAGCTGCTCCAGCAGCACTCACGGGATACCCAATAACGTGAAGAACACAATGGTGATGCGTTTTCAAGGATAGATAAAACGAAACCGTGATGGGTCGTTTGGGAGAGAAGGAAAAGTGTGTGTACCGAATTGGACAAGGAAGTCGAAGAGGCGACGAACGTTGAGAGAAATGTGAGAAATGAATTCGCGGTTCTCCCAATCGGCTTGCACTGCGATTCCCACGTTTACTGCATTTGTTATCCCTCCCGCTCGAGCCATTTCTTCTTCTTCAACGCGTTTTCAGATCCACTGCTAATACAAGGGACTAGATGTTTGAATACACTTGGGAATGAATAAAAATGAATATTTTATCATTTTAGGTGGGAGCTGTTTAAAATTAAAATATATATATATATATATATATATATATATATATATATATATAAATAATTCTAATAAGTTTAGCATATTTAATATGATTTTCTAGTAAAAATTATTTAAAAATAAAAATAAATATTTTTATTATGAATCTCATATTTAAATTATTTAAAAATAAAAAAAATCATTTAAAATAAAAAAAAATTATATATATATACATCATTTTGATCAAGTTTAACATCTAAAAAAATTATTATCAAAAATTATTAAAAATAAAAAAAAATATGTTATTATAAATCTTATATCAAAATTACTTAAAAATAAAAAAAAAATTACTTAAAATTAAAAAAAAATATGTATATAAATAATTTTTATCAAATTTTAAACTATTCATATTTATAATAAAATATTTAATTTTATTCTTAAATAATTTTTCTTAAAATTCCTTTAAAAATAAGTACAGTTTCCTTCGAACTCCTCTTTCACGTGGCAATATATATTTTTAGTTTCATTTAAAATGTAATCAATTATAAATTATTTTAAATGTTATTTTCAAATAAATTATTATAAAACAGAAACTTTTTTACTATATGTTTATACGCAATAATGATTGAGTGTAGAGACTACTATTTTTTTTAACATGAAATTTGTGATTGCAAAATAAGGTGGTAAACAATTTTCACTAACATGATGACAATGATAAGAAGATAAGTGGAATGGAAACTTAATGATAAGTTGACAGGTTTACTGTATTATTTTTGTGGTATTAATTTATTTGTTTTTGAATTGGATGATATATTTTTTCTCTTTTTTGTCAGAGTAAAAAGGATATGAAGATTTTTCTTTCCCTTTTGTGGTGGCAGAAAGTTTTTGCAGAGTGAGTTAGTTGAAAAATGAAACGGAGAAGTTGAGTAACGGGGATTGACTTCATTTCATGGTTGCAGTAGAAAGTAAAAACTTGAGTATTGGCAAAGGATATGTATACTTTTGTTCATTGTCATTTTGCATTAAAGAAATGGAAGATAATATTTTAACATAAATTGAAAGGGAGGTTTTTTGAGGGTAGGTAGATATAGCGCACCCACCAACCCACTACTTTGCAAGACGTGAAGGCAGGGAATACAAGCTGTTAGAATTCACAATCATCCACCAACTACTAACAATTTTAAGCCCATCCATCACTGTTGATCTTTCTTTTAGTCTCCAAAAACATGTGAAATGAAAAACAGAAACATTCTCCAACACTATAAAATGGGATTTATTATTATAGAATGGATTTGTCAGAACAATTTAAAACTCATTTTGAATTAGTCTTTCCAGAACAATTATAATACATTCTGCAATGTTGTCTCACATGAGTCTATTAAAATGAAATTTGTTGCTTCCTAAATTGTTGTTCCGGAGTGCTTTCTCTTATTTTCACATATGTTTTTCGATAAAAGGTTGAGTTCGATGTGAAGCATGATGTTTCTGAAAAATGCATAAATTTCCTGGAAAGTGAAGGAGATTGCTCCGGCTTTGATAAATGAAATTGATGTTATCATTTCTTCCAAAATATGTATCTTTTCGTCTCTCCTCTCGTGGCCCCAACTTATCATTGTGGCAAAGTTCTTCTCCGTGGGATCAAAGGAAAAGGATCACTATGGAACAAGCATTCTATGTATTTTAACAGAGTCATTTAGAAATAACTCTTTGAAATATATTACAAATTGTTCCAAAAAGACCATCTTAAAATAAATTATAAATTATTCCGAAAAGTTTGTTATAATAATAAATCAATGTATTCTTAAATCCAAAAATAATCTTTATGTAAAAACTAGCATACGAGTCTTTATTAGGGATCACAAAATGAGTGAGGTTCGGCAAATCGGTCTGTCATGTCAGGGTAAGTTAGTACTTTCAGTCCATAAGTCCGTTTTGTCTCATCCTGCCAAATCCGTCAATCCACCGAGTCAACCCGCAAGATGGGACGAGGCTAGCTCACAGATCCGTTTCACTAATAATTTATTATTATTATTATGATATAATACAAAGAATAAAAAAGACAATATATAATATAAAGATTTATGAGAAGAGAATTCTAAAAGTTCAAATGTCTCATAAAGAAAAATTCATAAAATTTCAGTATCTCACTACTAAGAGAATTTAAAAAAATTTTATAATTATTCTAACTTACATTAGGGCAAACACTTTTTTTCTCAAACACAAACCCCTCTCTCTCTTTTTCCTCTCCCCTTACTCATCATCTTCTTTTTGTTCATCATTCTTCATAAGGGAAAAATCATATATGTCTTATATTTTTTTAATATAAAAAATAAAGATTTAATAAAATTTTACTGTTACATACATGTATTTATTATTATATAAATTTTATCTTAATTTAATTGTTCTAAAATATTATTTATTAAAATAATATATCAATTTATATTATTAACGTAAAATATATATATATATATATATTTAATTAATGATAATAATTTTATTATTAAATTTATTAAAAAATTTGATTTAAATGTAATAAAATAAAATGAAATAAGAAATATGACTAGTAATAACAAAATGGGTTGACCCATTTTGTTTACGAAATTTTAGTATTATTATTCTTTATTTTAATTTATCAAAATTTAATGTATATATTAATTTTAAAATATAAATTGTTTTTCAAATTATAAATGGTTAGAAATAAATAGACTTAAAACATAATTTTAAAAGTATGTAGATTATATTTGTTTTCTATCGTAAAATGTAACTTTGTTCCATGATAGTCTTTCGCAGGATGGATAAAATTGTGAGAAGTGATTTTTTTTTGTTTTTTTTTAACTCCTTAAGGACAATATGCACTTCACTTCTTTTGCGTTGCAAGACGAGATTTTTGCAGTAAAGGAAGAAAAGCCTTTTTTTTAATGGCAAAATTAGAGCAAGTAGTGTATTCCTGTAAGATTTTTCCACTTTCATTCAATTATAAATAATCACATGCAGCAAATTTATCATTTTTTATTACTAGAGTTACCTTAATAATATTTACTACAATTTTAATTGATTAAGCATATAATTTTAATTTACATTAACCATACATAAAATATAATGTGATTTATTTGATCAAAGAGGTTAGGAAAGATTGCCGATAAAAAGAAAACATGACAGGTTCAATTCTTCCATTATTTGTTAGTTTCAGGAGAGAGAAAAATAAAACCTGGGTGCCATTAAAAGTTCCCATTCAACTTGGAAAGATAATTCAGAAGAGAAAATGTATAATTATGTACGAGCCTTATGTTTATCATCCTTTTATCCTTGGAACATCTGTCAGTTCTCGTACATAACTATTTCTTTTTTAAAAGTAGATGGTAGAATAATCATTTTCAAAATTTAAATTCATGTAAAAATGTTGTTAAAGCAAGTAAGAAAAACTATAAATGAAAAATAAAGGGTCCCAGTTATTGGGTAATAAAAGTGCGAGTCTATCACAAAGCTGCAACAGGTAATAGGCCATTGTGCCTAAGCAATGCATCTGGTGTTGGTTCTCGGCCACGGAATTCCACAAAAACCTGCATACACCACCATTGTTGCATGTTCAACACATTAGGTAAACAGGAATTGGATTTGTCTTATTAACAGAATGGACAAAAGAGATTAAGTAGTGAAGTAGTATCTTACATCCAATGGTGCCTTGCCACCTCCAAGAGCAAGAATGGTCTCCCGGAACTTGTGTCCGGTTTCTTTAACAGCCTGTGCAACATGTAAGTAAAGACAATTATCAAATTCAAACATGTAAGAATCAGTCATGGGGACTGAAAGAGATTAAATAGTGTATATAGAGACTAAAATAAATTATTTTCAAGTATAAAAACTTAAAAAAAGGGTAACGTTTGTTCAACTATTCACACTAAAGACGCTATATGACTAATTTAACCTTATTGTCATAAACATTAAACCAACAGTAATAGTTTGGATTTGAATTACATTTTTCAGATAGCAGCATAATTTTATTTTTCTTTTACAATAGTAGAAAAAACAAAACCACAAGCACCAAAAACAAAATCAAGGCAGCAAAACTCAACTTTCTGATTGCATATTTCACACTAGAATGTAGGATAAGCAATGCCAATTTGACCAGTAGTAACTTCTTGAAATGTGATTTTCCTTTATGATGCCACAGCCACAGTGGCATACATAAATCCATTGATGTTCTAACAGTGCAACTAGCCTTAAAAAGTACAAATTGAACAAAGATTCATTTTGGGATTCCATTGACATCAGTTTGGTTTGAAAGTTAACTGACATCATCATAGTCCCCTTGGGACTAAATTGACGTCATGTTTCTTTAGAGGACCAAGTCCATATCATCAATATTTCAAGGAACTAATGATATCAAACCATCTTTTAGGGAAGAAAATGATGGTGTCCTATTAAGACCTTTTGGTAGAGAGAAAAGAAATAGATTGGATAGAAATAAAAACCGGTCGCTGGGAAATAGGAGAAAAATAAAGAAAATATGGAAAGATATAAAGATGAATGAAAACAGGTAAAAAATATAGTAAAAGGTTACTTTTGGACTCCATCCTATTTTCACTCTATTTCCATTCAACCAAACAACCAACATTTATTTTCACTCCCCCTATATCCACTCTCCCCCTCCTGTTTCCATACTACCAAACATGACATTAAAAAAGCATAGGTAATATAATGAGAGAATTGAACAGGAAAAATGAAAATTTTGAACATTAAACACAAAGGCAAGTCCATAAACATTAAAGTCCAACACAACAAAAAATGTACCTCGTCATTATCCAATCCAGCATCCTCAAATGCAGAGAAAGCATCTGCAGATAGTACCTCAGCCCACTGCATAACAGACAAATTTACCATGAGATTTAATTAGTTCTTTCTCCGTTTATTGGAGGGACAGGGATATTTCTATAGGGGGAAAGGGAGTCTACCACAATCATAAAAGAAAACACATTCAAAAGAGATTCTCAAGACACAGGAAATGTTAATCAACATTAAAGCAATGTAGAACGTACCTTGTAGCTATAGTATCCAGCTGCATATCCACCTAACAAATAGAAAACCCAAAAACACATTTATTTCTGTTGAGATACTTGCATAATTAATAAATACCAAGAGAAACAAGAGGTGAAGCAAACCTGCAAATATATGGCTAAAGCTGCAAAGGAACCTGTCCTCTGGTAATGGAGGAATCACTTGAGTTTTCTCAGAAACTCTACGGTCAACATCATAGATGGACTCAGGTCCCCCTGGAACATATTTTGTATGAAGTTCCAGATCTAAACATGCGAATTTTAACTGCAAAATATGTTTATAGACATAAGATTAGAAGGAATCATGGGAACACAAGTAATTTAAAACATAAATATAACACAATAGAAGAAACTAAGGTCAGAATTAGCATTCAAAAATAAAAACTATGAACAATTAACAAAATATTGAAGCCTCACTAACAAGTTAATGAAGCAAAGCCATTGTGCAGATTTTACATTTTTTTCTGGGGTAAGGGGTGCCAAAGCACTATATTTATCTATACTGAGACAGACTGTTTTTAAGACTACCAACCATATTAACAAACTAGCTATTACATAATAAAGTTCTGAATTTGAAATGAAGTAGTTCAGCTTTGATTGATAAGTTAATGTGGGTAACAGACGCAACTTTTAAATCACAGAATGGAATAGCCAACCATTACTTTCACATACTGACCTGCCGAAGACTTAGAGAGCCAGCTCGAAAAGTCCTAGCTGCAACAAGCTTCAAATATACTTCTTCAGGGAGACTCTCCCCAGTTTCAAAATGCTTTGCAATGCCCATTAAAGTTTCTCTATAGCAGCAAAAAAAATACCACAACACCAAAATATATGATACTCGGATTCAAAAACTATAATGTTAGTTTATGAAAAGAGGGTAATAATACGCAACCCATCCCCTCCTATTAGTGGTTAAAAGGGATTAGGTCGCTCAAAACAAAAAGCCTGAGAATGCAAAGTACCATATAAAGGTGAAGTGGAAAGCAGTTGAAATGTTGAATGCAAAAGCAAGAACAAGCAATGATAATGTGGACAATGGATAGTTGGAAAGAATAAACTTTCCACAACATGAGGCAAACGTTATTCAGAAGACATCAATCAAAAACGGATCAAGCATATAATAATAATATACAGTTGGGAGTAACATAAAAAAGTTCTTTCTTAGCTCTGGTTATGAAAAAGGAAGGACAAGAGTAACATCCGACCAAGACAAGAGTATATACTCATGTGGACATATTTACTTTACCTATGGTAACACCAGTTTTCCATGAACTGAGAAGGTAATTCAACAGCATCCCACTCTATCCCTCTAATACCAGCAACCAGACCCTCATCTTGCTTAGTAAGCATATGTTGAAGTGCATGACCAAATTCATGGAAGACAGTCTCCACCTGAAAAAACGGAAAAGAAAAAGATTGGGTAAAACCTTATGAATATATAGATAAGTGAACAAATTAGTAACTGCAGCTCATTCTATTCGTTAAAATTGTTAGTAACATATGGGTCTGGTTGGAGAAGCTTATTTACCATGCATTTCTAGGAGACAAAAATAAGATAAAAATGAGAATGAACTTCTCCACAAGCTAAAATTAACTTATTCACAAGATGAAAATAAGAATTTAAAATTGCTATGAGAGAAGTTCAACAAATTAATTTATACATAAACTAATCTTATATGATGGAAAAGTTCATTTCAAATTTTCTTCTTATTTTTCTTTCTTGGAAGTACTTGTAGGGAAGTTTATCCAAACATACTCATATTGCATCTCTGTTGATAATCATTAGGCCAAATTTTAATATTTTTTATTTATTGTGAAAATTAAATATGAGCAATGTTGATAACCCGACCCAATCCTACTAGTATTGTTTGAGTTGGATACTTGGATTGAATTGGGTAGTTAACAAAATTTGCCAAAACCAACTAAACCTAATCGAGTCTAAATTATCAAATCAGGTAGTTTCGCCCCCTAAACCTTGTATGCCGCCCACAGTAAGAATCAGGTTAAGTTGTTAACTTTAAAACATACTGGGGTTTTTCAAAAGCCAACCTATAGAGAACGGGTCTCTGCATTTTAGCCATTCTATATTTTTATTAAAAGCAGCCATCTGGTGCAAGTACTCAGTAGTTTAACAACTGGCAGAAACACAAGATACTTGAAAAGTTTAGACTTCTAGCATGGTTTTCTCTTTGTCCACTATATCAAATCCAACAAGAATTTTCAAGATTGAAAAGCCAATGTTTTCCTTAAATTTTATGAATTTAGTATGGATGGGAACTATTCTATTTTTAACTACATACTAATTTATGAATATTTTGATTGCACTGTCATCAAGATATAGTGCAGAAACTTAATTTTATTTAACATTGAACATTGATTGGCAAGAGTGGTAGTGACCTTTGTCACTTAACTAAGTGGCCCAAGGTCCACATCTTGGTGATGTTACTAGATATGAAATCATGTTGGGAGGGGAATACTCACCTTGTGTGCGCTCAGGGTCTTCAATGATATTAGTCATTACTTTCGACTGTGAGTAATCCTTACTAATTCCATGGTTACACAAAAAGGTAAATTAAAGGATATGTTCCATTCAGATTAAAATCTCACATAATTGATTTCACACTTATACCCAATAACTGGTTTTGCCCAAGGCTGAGTACTGCTAAACTATGACCTTGCTTGGTACACAATTATTTTGGAAAAAATAAATTCTTTTTTTCCCCCAAATAGCTCTCAAGATTCTGGAAAAATAAACAAGTTTGTATCTACATTTCTTTAAGGCAATAAAAAAACAGTTCCATATCATAAAAGCAGTTACCAAAACCGTTAGAGTAAAATTTTACAACAAAAATGTGTACACCAAATGTAGTTATTTTGAATTGGTATCCTCTTTATATATTAGAATAGATATTAATCCTTCGATTGTTCAAGAGGAAGCTTTGCAATGAATGCCTTCACTTCAACAAATTGCCCAGAGTACAGTGACTTGGAAAACAAAATAATAAATGAAAGACAGTAATTGTTCCAGTAGCCCTCCACTCAGACCAAACTATGCCAACATATCAAGAGAAGACACTTCCGGACACAATTTGTATTTTAATTAGCTTTAAAGATGGCCTAGGCAAATATTTTTTATTTCATACATAATGATAATAGCAAAAAGTTATAAATAGACAAACGAATAATGAAAAATTGAGGTTACCTCACGAAATGTCATAAGACTTGGCTTGTTTCCTACAGGAGGAGTTTGATTACACACCATGTGCGCAACAGGCAACCTTGCTGAGGTACCATCACGTGATAATATACGACTACGAGCAAAAACTTCATCCATCCATGCACCTTGCCTTTTTTCAGCAGGACGACTGTAAGGATCAAAATAAAAATATGCAATTGGACTACCAGAAGGATCCTTAACACGGAAGAACTTGACATCATTATTCCAGACCTGAATAACAATAATCATGTGTCAGGAAGTTTAATATAGATGCTCCCCATACAAGAATCATAGCTACACAAAAAGGAACCTAGTTTACCGGAGCTACACCATCAGCTGGCTCAATTTCAATGCCAAAAAGTGATTTTGCAAGATTAAAGAGTCCATCCATAACCTTTGGCAGAGAGAAAAAGGGCCGCAGCTCTTCCTATGAGATACAGTAGCAGAAGCATGAGCATTTCCAAGTCCAATAAAATGTTTACAATAAAAAAGGACTGACACATTGAAAGTAATAAAATCTTGTTGAAACAGCAGTAAATTGGTCAATGGTGTGAACAAGCATTAGCAAACCATAAAGTGTCATTAGAGAGCAGAGCTGTGGGAGGAAGAAACTCTTACACGTGGTTGGCAATTGACATAAATATAAATAATAGCTTTCAGAATTTAAAAAGTGCAATGAACCTAATTGTGAAATATGAAACTTTAAACTCTCACGTTTGTGAAAGCACACATCCATAGGAATATTTTTGCCAGTACAAATATTTTGCAGGTTGGTGATAAATTCTTGTTACTTTACTATAGGAAAGGGCATTCAAACTGACTGTAAGTCATAACAATTCAACACCTGATGCAATAGGTATATGAAAAGTATTAATTGCATGAACACTGTATTCAATATAAAATGATGTGGAATAATCTTCAAATCATTCTATATTTCTTTATTCTCCAGGTTAACAGTTAATAAAACTTTTTTTAAAAATATTATTTTCTTTCTAAAGAGTAGAGAGCAACCTCATTAATATCATATTTTGACTCACGTAACCTTTCACTCCAAAAGCTAATGTCCCAATGAGTCAAATCACTAGCTTCCGATGCACCCTGACTTTTGGAGAATTCCTTAAGGTCTTCAATATCTGCAAGGAAGAATATGCAACACCTAACTTATGTCTCGATTAAAAGAAGACACACATCTATATATAAAACCAAATTTAAATAGACAACATAGTCCCCTGTGGTGCATGTCAGAACTATTATGAGTTGGCAATTTAGAATCCTTCCAAAACAACATCTATTTTTGCTATTTTAGAATATTCAATCACAACAAAGGATAACTCTAGAAAGCTTATATGCAATGCATTATCCCCATGATTAACTAATAAAACTATATGCAATTCAAAGCCTGATGCAAACACAACCAAAGACACATTTTATACACAATACCTTGCACTGCAGGATCCCAGGAAGCTCTGCGAAGCTTTTCAAGAAGTTGTTCTGCTTTATCAACAGTTGCCATTTTGGTTGCCATGCTAACCTGATAGATTATTTATACATTAGACACCTACATCAGGTTGTATTCTTAATATAGCATATGAATCATACCTCGGCATAGTTATTGTAGTTGAGAAGTCTGGCCTTTTCCAACCTTAGCTTTAAAATTTGATTAATTATTTCTGTATTATCCAAATCTCCACTGGATGCACGTGATACATATGCACGATAGATCTCCTCACGCAAAGAACGGTTTCGAGCATGTTGCATAACAGCAATAAAACTAGGAGCATCTAATGTAATTACCCATGGCCCATTCTCGGCAGTGGCATTTTCATGCCCCTACAATTGCCCATTAAGTAATCAAAACACAAAACATAGCTGATTGTCACAACTTGAGAATAATACAAACATGTAAGATATACCTTGGATACTGCACTTTGTGCAGCCAACCCAAGAGCAGTGGCAGGTAATCCTTCAATTTCTTTCTTATCTGTGATTAGTTTTTCAAACTTCTTTGTTGCATCTAGAACATTCTCCCCGAACTTTTGTGATAACTTTTCCAGCTCCTATGAATGAAATGGAGAAAGAAGATACAAATAAAAATATAACTAAAATGAAAGCACCAGTACATGAAATATTGTGAAGTTATGAAGTCCAATCACTTTGCTTTTGGAATTTGAGTAAACAAAAATCATTATTTAATCAAAATTTTATTACTTGATTTAATTTGGAGTCGGGATATTAAGCAAAATCCTACACCCTTCTCAATTCTCAATAAACATGTACTGCTAATAAAATACGGATTTCAAAGTTCATGCTGCCTATTCTGTTATTTTCAAGTCACGCATTTTCAAGTATTCATATGTATTATTAAGATCTCATTTTCTACCCTTGACTGAGAAAAGGATAGGGCTGGTTGCTTCCATATAACAGAGAGAAACAGAGATCAAGATATAACCAAATATGTAAACCTAGTAGATAGTCACTAAACGATGGGAATCAAATAGCATGTGCTACTAAAAGCTAGCGTTTATGCTTTGTTAGTTATTAAAATAGCACACCTGTTCAATTTTGTTAAAACTCTCTCTTTTATCATCTTCAAGGGAAACTCCATTAAGAACCGCCTCCTTTATTTGGCCTGCAAAGGCACACATATTTTGTTATTGGGTAAATGTAAAATGATGGGCTCAAATAATACATATGTTTAAAATTGAATGAACGGTGAATGGAAGAACAGTTTGAGATTTAGCATGGTTTATCGTGAGTATAGATTATAGAAGTTCTTTAGCGACGTGTAAGACCGAGACACCCCAGATATTCCATGTCACAAATCAAACATCAAAAAGTAGAGCACACACAATATCTCTTTCACACCAAGAAGCTCAGCATCAAATAAGTAACTAAGCAGATTCGTAAATCAGAAAATTTTACACCAACTTCATTGAAAGTCTATAAGCTGACAAGATGCATTGGGATACAACCAGAGCAACTTTTAGCATAAAAACATGACAGACTAAAACAAAATCACATCACAAGAACAACATATCAATAAGATATCATAATAACTTACTTTCAACTATGCGCCTGCGAGCATCACTTAGTGTCTGCCAATCAGGAGACTCTTGAATGGCTTTGAACGCATTATAAATAGGTTTGCTTTGACCCAGTCTAAGCTGAAACTTAACCTTCTCTGCCTGCAAATAAAAAGGTAATCCACCAATCCTCGTTGGCACACCAAAACTACAGGCCTCATAATCAAAAAATAAATAAAAATAAACAGCAGAATAACATATTGCAACATGGCTCATGATGTGTTCTAAGTGAAGCAAACAAAACATTCTAAATCCCATAAATTGTTACACTATACCCCAATTGTATTAAAAAAAATTATACTAAAAAAAAAACATAACAGAACAGAATATAAAAAAATACACATATACACATGACAAAAGCACCCAATTTACTTATTTTTTAATTTAAAAACAATACCTGCACATCTTCAATAGCAGAACGTAACTCAGAACTGTCCTTAACAGCCTTTAGATGATTGACAATGCCCCAAACAACAGATAACCGGTCAACGATCTTCTCCAACGGTTCCACCAACTTTGACCACGACGGTTCCACGTTCCGCTCCAGATCCTCCAATTCACGTTCCTAACAAAACCCCAAAAAATCCCCATCATGCAAACCAGTCCCAAAAGCCCGAATCAGCCCAACCCATTTCCCCAATCCCGACGGAGAATAAAAAATGAGAGAAAAGGATGAAACTTGTTAGCATTACCAGCTCGCCGAGGAGTGCGCGAATTCCGGGTCGCACGTGCTTGGGTTCGACGACATCGAAGGGTGGGAAGTCGAAGTTCTGCAAAAGAGGGTTGGCTTCGACGACGTCGTTGGGCGAAGAAGCGGCCATGAAGGGAGAATAAGAAAAGGAAGAAGAAGCGCGAAGAGGGGAAGTGGACTTGCGGAGTGTGGAGAGGCAGAAAGAGAAGGAGGAGGACCAGAGGGGACAAGGATGGGATTTTGGGAAATGTTTGAGGCGTGAAAGGGAACAAGAAGTGCGGGATAGGAGTCGTGGGGGGATGGAACGAGAGACAGGAAGAGTGAGGGTAAGACGTGTTGCCAGGAGCATGTTTGCTATAAGAAGGGCACCCACTACACCTGAGCGTCTCATTTTGAGAGCCTTCTATCCCTCTATACAATGATCCTCTTGGCCAGGTTCATGAAAAATCTACCATGGGCTACTTTTCTTTGTATTTTACTCTTTTTTTAACTTTTTTTTTTTTTTATGTCGTTCTATTTTTTTGCCAGTTTATGACTTCATTTCCATGTCAGAAATCTAATCCCAGACTTACTTAACTTAAATCTGTCGTACCACTTATGTAGATTACTTTTGGTTTATTTTGCTTTTTGCATCTTGTTCCATCTTATCATTAGGTGTAGGTATGGTGAAGATTTTTCTGTTTTAAATTATTTTCAAAAGAGTGAGATAGGATGTTTGGAATTTACTTTACGCTTAAAAATTGTAATTTTAACAAAATATATAAGTGTTGAAATTTAACGAAACAGGCTGAATGAGCGTGTTTTGAATTGGTATTACATTGAAGTTAATTTTTTTTAGAGCTATTTGGTTTAAATATGTATAGTAATATGAGAAGACAAGATTAAAGTAAAAGAGTATTTTTAGTATATTGAAGAAAAAGAGTATTACATTGTATTCTTAGAAGAAAAACTGTTAGATGATGTGGAGGTTATCATTAACAAACGGGTGCTATTGTTTATGACTATTTAGTTGAGAAGATATATCACATAGTTGTAGGTGGGATATATTTAAATACATATTAACTTATATTTTATGATGGGATTGAAAGGTGTTAAAAGATTTGAGTATAACGAAAGCATTGATTGTGAGCAATATAATAATATTTTTGGTTCGGATAAAATAATAATGAACTAATGATTGAGAAAAAAATTGAAGAAAATACAAGCTTTACATTTGATGGTTATATTAATATAATGAGAAATGTCTTGCGACCACAATGTTCATATTTGTGAACAAATCAATAAAGATATGAAAGTTCATAATAAAAAGAGAAGAAAATTATTTACACAACCAATTTGATTTGAAAAAGAAAAATATAAAAGTGGACAACTAAATAAAATATGAAGTTGAGCTGTAATTTAAATTGGGTTGCAAAAATATATTTGAAGATGAAACATCATATTTGAAAATAATAATAATAATCAAAGTGTTGGAAATCTTATCTCACGAACACTTTGAATGATTATGAGAGAAAAATAGAAAAACATAATTAATTTGATATAAAATTGATAACTCGTTAAGAATGTTTGTGGTTTGTAAAAAAAATTATATAACTTGTAGAGGCTTTGGTCATTGACACATTTCAAAGGTTTTTTTTTATGACATAATATTCTGCTTATATATATTATTCAAAAGATATTGTGATGTATGATGTGTCTAATTTATTGAAAAAAGTAAATCGTATTTATTTATATTGTTGAATTATTAACAAATATTACTAAAAAATAAATTATGCAATATCCATGAGTTTGATATGCAAGGTTTATTCTTGGTAGAAAGAAATAAAAAATTGTGTTTAATTATATAAAGAAATATCAATTAATATTTTATAATTATTATATAAGTTTCAGAAATTCAAAGTCAATCAAGTTAAGTCACATAAATAAATCAATAAATTTATTTGTCTGTACATATTTTTCTAATAAAAATTATCTTTATTAACATCAAACTAGAATTTTGTAATGTTAGGATTTTCTCTATGCAAATATAGCAGGAAAACTATAATACACTTCTAAAAGAAGTTGTTGTATTAGAGAAGTTGTTGTATCCACTATATTCGATGAATATTATATAATTTTAATTTGTATTCAATTAATATTGTAAATTTCAACATTTTATTTTAAATTATTAATTTGAAAATTCTAAAAATATTAAAGAATCAATTAATACTTTGATAAATCAGTTAAGAATCTTGCATTGTTCACAATAGCTTTTGCATGGCAATATCCATAATTTTATTTCTAATAAGTAAGTTTAGAAGTTGATTCGAATAGGGTAGAAACAACCATAACTTTCTAACATTAATTTATGTCTAAAACTATGTTAATCTAAATTCAAGAAAAAAACATAAATCAAATAACAGATAATAAAATTATACATGAAGTTATATATTATCGAGAATTTAAGTGTGTTTGAAATCCCACATGGGATAAAAATGAAAAAGTTGTTATAAGTGAGAAATATTCATAACCTAATGTCTTAAATTTTTTTATTGAAGGCGGTGTTATATATTATTATATAGTTGGTGAGTGTCCCATTTGTGAGAATCTTTTTACTGTTAGTCATTTCAAAAATATCTAAAAGGGGTGGTGTATCAATGTAAAAGGAAAAAAACATAAATCAAATAATAAAGAATAAAATTATACATGAGGTTATATATTGTGGAGAATTCAAGTGTGTTTAAAGTTTCACGAGAAAATAGAGTAATTTATAAGTGAGAAAAACTTTATTAAGGTTTTAAATTGAAAATAGTGTCATATTCTCTTATATGATTAACTCGTGTTCTACTTGTGAGAATCTTCCTATTATCAGTTCTTCAAAAATACCTAATAAAAAAAGAGAATTAACTACTCATAGTGAGAGCAAATAATATAAAAATGTGAGAGAATATACATTTTTTTTATTTAATGTATTTTGGTTTATTTTAACATTTATGAAAAAAAATAAAAATAAAAATTATAAATATATAAGTAGATATACTTAGTGGTCACTAAATTTCGAAGGACCAAAATTTTAAATATACATGTAAGTTCCAAATTTTGGGATACCAAGGTCCCCTTAAACTAAGAAGCTATGTGAGAAAGATGATTCTAAAATTATAAAGATATATGTTCTATTTTGGCTAGCCTATACCCAAACTTGTGTTTCATGTTCAATCTTACTATCTCTACTTGCATATTTTTTCTTCTTTATTCTTTTATTTATATTTTAGAGTACTCAGCAACGTTTTAATCATTCACTCAATGACATGAACTTTTACTTAGTAGATTGAACTTTCTTCACCTTCCGAAGGACTTCATTCTATTAGGCGCTTATGCTAATCGCTCAATGTTTTTTTTTATTCCAAGAATCAAACCTTCTCTGCCACAATTTCCCTTCACACAAATTTGTATAAATTGTTTTGTCAATTCTTCAAAACTTACAATATATGTAACTAGAAGTTATTGGAAACCTATAATTTCTTTATAGTTACATGAAATAACCGTTTGAAATAGGAATAAAAGCATCTAATTTTGACACTTATCATACATGAAATGTTTTCCCCGTTCAATAGGTTAGTTACTCCTAAAAGAATTTTGGCATCCATAAAATCTAATAGTAATGTCAACAAGATTGAGTGGGTGAATTTTGTCTGCCCAACTCATGTTCCTCGTTTTCTTTATTATCTCCGTCCTTATTCTAAATCCCATCAGGACTAGAAAATTGAGTATCTATCCTTAGTTTCATTAGGTTTTAGATTTCTCCATCATTAGTTCTCATTCCACACTATTTATATAAAAAATATTTATACATAGATTTAATAAAATAATTTTAATGTTATTCTTTTTTAATGTATTATTTAGTATACATAAATAAATACTTGTAATTTTACAATTTTTAAATTATTATTATTGTTTTAGTATAATTTATTATGTTTATATTAAAATATACAAAAAAATATTTAATCCTTTTTTCTCTTCATATAATATGAAATACATGTAATGATACTTGAGAGGGAGTTAATAGAAAAAATGTAGAATAAAAGAGAAAAGATGTCGTGTAAAGTGAGAAAGAAAGAAAAATGTTTAAAAGAGTTAAATTTTAGAATTTAGATTTAATATATAAAGTTGGATAAAGACGAGAACAAAACTGAGATCAGGATAAGAATTACATTATTTATTTATTTATGTTAGCTTTCAACGGAATATATTAACTTCAAAACGATATTAATATTAAATTTATTTATTCCTAAAATATATTAGTTAAAATAATTTGAAAACTACCCTTTAAACTATAAATATGCATTACAGGGACTATGTCAAACACAATCACAAACTTTTCTATTCATAAACTATGCGATCTAATTTAATTGGCTGACTTTAAAGGTTTAATAAACTTCAGAATCGTTGCTAGTTTTATTTTTTTGCGTAAGTTTGTTTCTTCTACTATTTCAAATAAATTTAGGATTATATTAATAATGAACTATAAAATTCTTCTACCTATTGTCTCGATGTTCTTTTAAAGTGGATAAAATCTAAATCAAAACTCACACCATATCAACTTAAATTTTCTAATGAGAATGGATCAATCTTCAAGAATATGATCTTACAATTATTATTATCATCGTTATAAATTTTTTTTAACAAACTATGTCACTATTTCACACTAAAATAAATCATGCCATATTATTCGCATTGTACTAACAATGTTTTTAAAGCTGATTTGTCCTATCCTATCTATACAAACATGCACATCATTGATCTAGCTAGATTTGGTGAATAACATTATAACATATGGTTAATCATACTCAGAACTATTTGAATGAGGGAGAGTTGCTGTTAAATGCATGTAATGTGACATGTCAACAATTGTTTAGCTTATTTATGCCTTATGCGAATTATTCGGGGTTAAAGGAACATAATAGTTAGAAACACGAGTGAAAGTAGGATTTTATTTTCATTATACATAAATTTATTTAATGCCATGTTTAATGTGGTTAACCAACTTCATCAGGTTTAACTAGAATATAGATTTTTCTCAATATTAATACTGTTTTAGTAAGTGTTTGGATTTTAGTTTACTTGGTTTTGATGCTACCTAACAAGTTACATGTTAAATCCTTTAGTTTCTCTTACTTTAAATTGGGTCATTATCGCCTTCTCTTTAAAACTTCAATCAGTAGAAGATGAAAAAAGGTTTATAGTTTCACATAACTTAAATTGTTTATCTTAATTTTACTTTGGGTTGCTTATCTTGTTTCATTTGAAATATTTTAAGATGATAACGTCATGTCAGGATTTTATTTTAACTTTGGGTCATTGTAATCATTCGCTTTATCTTCTGGTACATAACTTGTTTATGAAATTATTATTATTTTTACGTTTTTCATCCCTCAAAGAAAAGTAATAATGTAACATATTGCATGGGACAATCATTAATAAGGTAAGAGTGTGTTTAAAAGTGGTGAGTGATTTATAAAATCTTATGACATAAAATAATCAAATCAATGTTGAGATGGACTCTATTTGGATTTAAGAGAGAATATTACCAACTCTTATATTTTACCATTTTAAATTGTGACTCAAAAAACAACTATAAATTTTATATTAATTTTTTTCATATTAGAATTCACATTAGTGATATTTATATGAAAATTTCTGCAATATATGCATAAAAATTATAATATAATTTCCTCCCTAAACAAATAAAATAGCAAAAGGAAAGCATCACTTATGACATTCAGATTGGTCTAAACCCGGGTCACATCTCATGGCCCATTCAATTTGGGCTATACCTATATGACCAATAAAATAATCAATTTGGGCTAACCCCAGAAAAATAAAATAATTGTACTTAGGTGAAGAAAAATACATGAAAAAACGCTAGAAGGAGGGCTTGAACCTCCGACCTTGTGGTTAACAGCCACACGCTCTAACCAACTGAGCTATTCCAGCTTTTGATATTATTATCAAATTATATAAAAAAACGGTAAAAAATTACATGCTAATTGAGGTGCGTAAATTTGACTTCATTCTATGCCAGTTAAATTTTTTTTTTTTTACAATAGACATGTAACACTTGAAGCATAAAATTGATGACCCTAAATACTAAATATTGAACTAAAGAAAACTCATGAACCAGAATTCTAGTTCTCTAAATGAACTTTGCAGTGTCTCTCATAAACCTTGGAGGCTTGTGATGAGGAAGGTCATCATGATTCATATATGATGTATCCTGTGCTTGGGTCCCTCATGTACAACCTATACTCTTACATGTAATATAGCTACCCAAACCTTTACTTTATTAATTTGGAATATTATCAAACTATATTATTTTACAGATAAACACACTATACAAGTGATCAAGCTATTCCCACACTTAAATTTTCTCCAAACAGGAACCAAACCTATGAATTAATGAAAAAGAATATAGTTATAATAAAATGAAACAAAATCACTTTAGACCAGATAGAAAATGCTTTCAACTTTAAAACGTCCATCAAAAAATTTATTATTTTTTTACATTCCTCTTTATATATACAAAATTATATATGTAGATAATAAAGTAATATTTTATTTTATGAGAAAAATAAGTGTATACTAGCAATATTAATTTTATCTGATTTAATTTGATATGTAATTACTAGTTGATTGAATGGGGGCACTGGAAACAAAGAAGGGTAGGAGATAGGGTTTTATGTGGGCTCACAATCTTTCTGTTCCAATCGACATGTGCACAAGATTCTCGTAGCCCCCAGATAAGACTTATGCTTGTCTACGCAATAAGTCTACACAAAAATCAAATTCAAAGCATCCATGCCAGAATCATACTTGCCACAAACCACTAGACTCAGTTTAGTTTTATGATGATGACAAGGGAGAAAAGTATGTGTAAAGATTCTAAAGCAGAAAAGTATGAAAAAATAAATAAATTTAATAATTAATTTATATATAATTAAAAAAAGTAGAAAAAAAAAATAAAGGGGAGTTTTTATTAAATAGTTTATTTATAAATTAATGTTAACATGAAAAAATGAATTGTAATTAAGCTTTGTTCTTGTTTAACACATTGGCCAATGACCCGATCCTAGTTTTAAAATCTGTCCAACGTTTGCAAGATAAACAAATTGTTTGGATGAGAACTTAGATGTAAAAGGAATCAGCACTGGGCGAAACAAGCCAAGCTAGCAAAAAAATGGCACCAAAACCAAGGAAGGTGCTGATTTTTTTTATTTTTATTTTTTCATCTTAAAGCTAACGACATAGTCCTCTGCTTCAGCACTTGGTGAGTTAGAGAAAGACGACAGATTCTCAAGTCCCCACACAAATACAGCGTTAGGTGTGGTTTGTGGAGCTGTGATTGTACCAAAATCACATGCCCCCATCCTCATAATTTGTTTCTCTTTTTGCCATTGTTTAATTTTTATTTTTTTTACCTTCTCTTAAGACATAACGTTTTTGTCGAATGTTTCCGTTACTGAATGGTTTAGGTTTAGAAAGAAATTATTCCAAGGAATTGCTTGGCTCATGTTGTGTCCTTTTCCTTTCTCCTTTCCATAGCTCTCATCTTCCCGTCAGAAATGGCTGGTGCATGTCCTCATCAATCCCATTTTGTCTAACATTGATTGGAAATTGGAAATTGAAAATCTTTGATTTATCTTTGCTCATGATATGATGTTTACAAAATGTGTGTTGAATAATCGAATTTTAATATCTGGAAAGATTAGTAACTATAGCTTTTTAGTGGTTGAAAGTCTCAGTTCAGTAAAAGAAAATATTATTTATGTTTAGTCACACTTGTTTTTGTTTTTGTGACTAAAATAATATATCTGTCTCTTACCCTAAACAAATAACGAATTAATATCTATGTTTCTTTTTAGCAAACTAATAATTGATTTCCTAATAATAATAATAATAATAATAATTCAATTTACTGATTTTCAGATTTGGCTATACCTTACACCGATTGTTCTTTTGTCATTTTCATATGACTACATATTTTGTAATCCATACTGTTAATTCCAATTAATCATGAGATTAAGACAAAGTAGCATGTGATATAGTTTAATGATAGATTAACAACAAAGCTGAGAAGAAGAAACCCTTGTATGAATGAGAATTACTCTTTTACAGCATATGGTACTATGTACAAATGGTAACAGCCTAACAGGCACTATAGGCTCCTCAGACCAACTCATAGACAAAGAAAATAATTGAGAGGATAAAGAAGCATACACACTCACACACACACCTCAAAGGAAGAAAAACATGTCAAACTCCACACAAATGGAAAAGGATCTCACAATGACAGTGCAGCGATCCTCTTACATGCCGGGGTGCATGATGTCCCCTTCGTGCTTGCCAATCCACAACGAGTTCCAGTACTCAAGAATCCACTACTGCAGCAGCCCCAGAAAGAGGGTGAGAAGGTGGAGGAACATTCTCAGAAGGTTCATGAGGGAGAGCAAGACCTTGTGTAGATCCAAACCCATGTCATTTCAATACGACCCTGTTAGCTACTCCCAGAACTTCGATGAGGGTTGCCATCTTAATGAACCTAGACCAGGGCTGCAAGATGTTCGGTGGGATTTACATCATTGATTTTGTGTAACTCTGGCTACTACCTATTTAGGCTTGAATGTAAGAAGGCATTGAAATGGCCTTTTGTTTTGACACATGCCAACTTCTAGTTACTGTATGGTACAAACAACTTAATCCTTCTTCAAGATTGTATATGGTGTATCTCATTCATATTTAATACCGAAGTTATATCAATTGAAAACATTTTTGTATATAGGTTGGATCTACCAGCAGTACTTATTGATGCAGTAATATTACTTTACTATGCAATTTTGTGATTGCTTCAGTTCTGATTGTGGTATGTGCAGTGCTGCTTTGTTCCATTGGTTGGATCCTCTGAAGAAAATTGAAGCAGTAGTTGGTTATACAAGTTTTATGACAAGATGCTAGCTAGCACTTTCTAGTCAGTGAACTACACATGCCAAGCATGACTAAGTAAGAAACCCCATTCATATTTTTCAGTAAGAGAAAAAAGGAGATTCTCTGCAATTGAAATTTTTTTCTTGGATTATAAAGACAGAAAAAATGCAGATTCCGGGATGTGCAATTAGTGCCTTTCCAGAAACGAAGGCCTGAGGAATATGATGTATGGTTGGAATATTTATTATGCCTTCTAAAAAGGCACTGCGCAGTGTAATGAGCTAAAGATCTTAGCTTGTTTGAGATGAAACTGAAATGAAATTGTTTGAGATGCATTTGCAAATTGTAATGAGCTAAGATGTTAGCTTGTTTGTTTGTCATTTTGATGATGGGGTGTGGTTGTGGGGTATATATTCTTATTTTACTTACATGTACAAAAGAACATGCTAGTGGTATCTAGAATTATTGTGTACAGAAATTTGGATTTTATTTTATTGTTCTGGTTTTGGGTAGCATAGTTGCTTAGTTTTACTAGTTATTCTACCGCATAAAGGGACAATTATTCCACGGATCAATTGCTGTTATGAAAGTGGATCTGATAGTACAACCTTAAGAAATCATGCTTGCACAATGTTGGAAGAAATGAAAAAGGAAAAATAAAAGAAAAATGGCCACCTTCTTTTCACCAAAAATTGTCAAGTTTTTATAATCTTGTTAAAATACATAGTTAATATATTAATGGTAAAACTTCATATTAAAAAATATGTCAAAGATGAACGCATATTTTGTAATAAACTCTTGTAACATTTTTATAGTTTATTTATTTAATTATATACTCATTTTATTTTGATTTTTCTTCTTCTTATTTTCGTGTCTCTTTTTAGTTTGTAAATAATATAAAATTAACGTAACATTATAATTTTATTTTCTTAACCAAACTAATACTATGGACTATCCAAATTGGGTATTTTTTTCCTAAAATTGGTAAAATTTTATCTATGTTTCTGTATTTTAAAAACCATTATTCTGGTCTTTGTCTAATTCTAATATGCATTGAAATTAGGTCATTCATGTATTAATTACAGGTACCATGTGTCAGGTGGATATATATAACTTATACATGACATGTGTCAGTTTTAATTAATAATATTTTGACTCCTGTGATCTTGATTCTTTATTGTAAATTTGTGATATATCAAATTCATACCTATAAATCAAAACTAATGGTTCTGGTATTAAATTTTGTTAAAATAGTTACTCTTACCATAAATGACTTGCTACAACACAAGACAAAATAATTTATTTTTTAAAATCAAAATTTTTAATAAATTTAATAATAAAATTATTATTTGTTTCTCAATCATTTAATATATATATATATATATATATATATATTATTTCAATTTAATAATATAAATCAATACATTATTTTAAGAAATTATAATTTAGAACAATAATAAAATTTACATAATAATAAATAATAAAAAATATATATATATATATATATATAATGTTAAAATTTATATTTTTATATTGAAAAATTCAAATAACTATATTTTCTATATTTGATAAAACTTCACATTATAAGAATAAAAATAATCAGTGCTTATGAGAACAAGGAGAACGTAAGAGAATGTTGTGTTTCGATAAGGAGAATATTTTATGTGAAAGTGAAACTTTTTTAATTCTCTTTTTAAAATTTTTAACTTTATATATTATCTTTATAATTAATTTTATTACAATAAAAAATTATTTTTTTATTAATTAAGCGAGTTTGGCCGCCTCGTCCCGCAGGTTAGTCGAACAGATTGGCGGATTTGGTAGAGTGAACCAAAACGGTCGGTACAAACATCAACTTGTCCCACCATATTATAGCGGCTTGACGGGTCGATCCATCAAGTACTTATCCTTTTTGTCATCATACGAGTGACTTTGAAATAACTACCAAATGTTTTTAATGCATGTTTTTTATTATCCTTTGAAATAACTAAAAAATTTATAACTATAACTATATAGTTGTAGTTATTCTTAATTGAAAGTTTCATATAACAAAAAAAGTAAAAATGGTCACGCGAGGGCACAATGTTAATTTATGAAATTTGTGCACAAGCCTAAGCATAATATAATGCTTAAAATTGTGATTGAGTTAGTTTAAATTTTCTTATATTTAATTTCATCAAATATACCACTCTTTTGCTTATGTTAAGTTAAAAGGGCAGAATTAATTATAAATATCTTATATTTAAGAACATAGGAGTAATATTCTAATTTTAAGGTTTAAGAGAATGATATAAATTATTCTAAGGTTGAGTAGGTTAAATTATAATAAAGTAGGTTAGATTATGATTAAATTTTGACATTTAGTTTGTTATGTTCTTGAATAGAAAAAAATTGCATCCTTATTATCAATTATCACTTTTTATCTAATGATATCCACTTAATCCAATAATTAGTATCATAATAAAAATCAAGAATTTCTGACTAAGATAACTGATGAGAGATTAATGGAAATTCTATCAATAACAAAGACTAAATAAGTCAAATCATAATTAAAACTGTAACTTTTAGATGGTTAAATTCTTCACTTAAAAAAATTGTGTTTTATTATTAATTATAAATTTTAACCTAGTAATAATAACTTTACATTTTTTTTCAGTTACTTTTTAATGTATGAAAAAAATGATTTTATTTTATTTTACTTATTTTTAAATTATATCAATCTCCAAACATATTTATGATTTGAGTTTGCTTTTTTTTTTTTTTATCTAGTAAAGAAAACTAATTTATTTGCATTATGATAGGTTCATTTCATATCATATTTTAATTTTAGTATAGAATGTAATGTAAAATAATAATTTTTTTTCCATTTATAAAAAATAATATAAAAATATTTTTACCATACAATAATTTACACCTTTTTTATATTTTAGATTTCGTCTTGAGTCAAAATCATTCTCCCTAAATTTGGTCCAAATTTGCATATATAAACAGAAGTTATTTTCTTTCAAGTTAATTAAAATTCTATTGTTCAAATTCCTAAATCTTTCATCTATGCACATTTTTTTTAAGGTTTCAGAATATTTTATAAACATATTTTGTGATCAAAATATTATATTTTTAATAAATTTAAGATGCAGGTTACTTTTTTTTATATAACTTATTCTCATATTTTATAATAATATTTTTGTAAAGTTTTTATAAAAATTGTAAAAAATAAATTTAAATAAATAAATTTTTTATAAATTTAAATTATTTTTTTAAAAATGTGTAGAAAATAAACAATTTTTTAATAAAGTTGAAAGAAAATCGTAAATTAAGATTAGTTACAATCTTATTTTTTTAAAAGATGAAGACTAAAAAGGCACTTAAAAAGAAAATAGGGAGATCCAACAAATTAAAAACATTCACTCTGTTTGATTGATTTGATTGATTACCATGACAATTACCCACCTAACTCAGACTTGACCATTTTAAAAAGTAGTGAATATACATTTTTTCAGTATAAGAAATTTTTACTCCTTTTATTCTTTGTTTACACAACCTTCACACAAACCAAGAAACGTATCGTATTGATATTTGCAAAGGTAACGTGCTTGGCATGGAATACACGTGGAAAACTGCATGACAAGTGCAGGTACTAGGTAGCTACGTATATCACTAGTGTTGGACCACTTAATTTTTTATTAACTAAATTTTTTTTGAAATACTTTCTTCCTCTCCCACATCTTCCTTAGATATTCTGTTTCCATCTCTTGAACCTGCAGTACCATCATTTAACACCTATTTCTTCTTCGACCTTCTTTGCATTCACAACCGCAACATCAAAATCCCTCCTAAACAGGTGAGTGTTTATTCAGCTATCAATATTCAATGTGACATGCATGTGCTTTATTACAAAAAGGTCCCATTGAACATGTGTCTTTTAATTGCTTCCATGAAATGTTAGCTGATAGATTGGATTTATATACAGCAATAAGACGTACTACTACGCAGCGTTTTTGCATTTGTGTGAAGCTACAAAAAATAAGGTTGCATGTGCGAGAAACCGCAAAGTGAGTGTTACAAAGCGTAGATGAACTGCTAATTAATGGTTTGGCTTAACATGAGAGTGTTGTGTTGGACATTCATAGTTGCAAAGGCTTTGCTGTTTTAATATCCAAGAGGGTTTCCCACGGGCAATAGCTCAGCTGATACAATTTTCATGTTTTTCTACATTATCCGTGGCTCCCCATAGTTTCTTATTTTGTGTTTTAGTATGCTTAACAGAGAAATTGTGTTGGATATATAATATATTTGATGATCTCCTCCAAGAATAATTGGATAAGATAGAGAAGGAAAAATTTATGTCCATGCTGGGTTATTCAAGATTCTTTTTTCATATGCAGTTTTACAAGCAAATGCCATTTTACTGATTAAATTTAATATAAGCAATACAATATCAGCGAGTGGATTGTTCTCTGCTGGGATTCTGTGAGGGAAGTTAAGTGAGTAATTTTCACCCCTAGGCCTAGAACTCTTCACTTCTTAGGAGTGGTGTGATTCATTATTGAGCTGCACTATCATTATAACATTCTTTTCCAAACGCATTACTATAGACCAAATTAGACTTGACCTTTACTTTGTGGCAGTGTCTGATGTATCACAAGCTTCTTGTTCAGGCTGGCATAACTGAAGTTGGATCAATTCTTGTGGACACCATCCTGCATGCATACCATATGGAAGTGGAACAAATGCATTTCTGCTTGTTGTGGCTATATCTGTTGTACCATAGACCTGGGACACCAAGACTTATTATTAAGCGATCTATGCTTTCTATTTTTGGGGATGCCATACATATTATTAACTAAGCTGCGCTACCATTTTGCATATTTGTGTGTGTTCTTGGTGAATGAGGTTTACCTTCTTGTAAAGTTCCACATTTTCCTGGAAGATAAGGTTTCCCTGTATGTGAATAAAAAAATATAAAGGTCAGTCAATGTTATACAAGTTTTGAGACGAATAACAAAAGTTATTTCTCAGAAAGACCTTTCGGTTCAGCTCTTGGATTTCATCTTTTAGAATTTGTTCCTGCAGAATTTGGCTAAACTTGTTAATAGTGCTCATCTTGGTCCTTAATGAGATTAATCAAGCAAGCACATTTACTTCCATTCCGTTCATTCTTAGGTGAATCTAAAAAGAAGTTGACCTTTTTCATACGGACACCTTGGAGGCTCATTTCCAGTTGGTTCTCTAGATCTTGTAGGTCTCTGACATTCAGACCATAAAGTTGTTCTCCCATCAATTGCCTGTGTCCTGAAAATGTTAGTGCTCTTATGCATGTAGCTTAACGAGATATGTGAATCCATTGGTTTTCTGCTATTAGCAAATATGAAAAATAATTTTTCATTTTACTATTTTGGAGTGTATGTGGTGTAATATTACTGTATGATTGATAATGAGCTCTACTTTGAATTTATATTCATTGTATTGTGTAGATAATCCTGGGATTGACATGTGAAGTTTCCTTTACTTAATTAGATGAACAAGGTAAAGTAAGAAGGTCATCACTTCTACCACAACCTTGTTTATGGATTGTACCTGGTGAGACATAGCATTAATGTTTATTGTAAGTAGTCTAAGATGGAGATAAAAGTAAGTACTGCTTCTGCATGGACTATTTTTCATGCTATTCTGAAAAAAAGAAAAAAAAAAAAAACTACTTATGTGAGTGATATAGAGCAAGACAGTATATTGTGCATTACTCAAATATTTAAGTCTATGGTTCTTCCAAGTAGGTCACGCATGAGGAAATTTTATTTTCTAGAAGAGTCTGTATTTTTATTTCTTGGATCTTCTTGTGCATTGTGAACCATAAACTCGCTGATACAGTACTAGAAGATTTCAATCTACAGGTCCTTACTTATATAATTCAATCTTAGGTTTATAAGTTCCACTCATATTATGAATGTGGAAGTAATTTTTTGACGAATGTTTTATTTGGTGGTATTGGCATGGCAAAAACCATTGCATTATTTTTCCCAATTCCAAGGGCTTTATCTTTGCTTCATGGTTTCTTTATCTTATTTTTGGTTTTTCTGCAAATTCAATTGGAAGATTGTTTCTGTGAATGGGAGTAAGGAAGTTCTGCAAAAGAAAAAAGGAATTGGGAAGTTCTTGCTTATGATTTGAGACAGAATAGAGCTTGCAGTGACAGTAAAATCATAACCATATATCATGGACATTTTGTTGGATTGGATGCAGCATGCCATGATGGTCAATCTACTATAGTACGGTAATATCCTGTTTTATCTACTCTTGTACATACAATATAAAACAAATATTGCTAAATAAATTAGTATTTAGTAGAAAGGTCGTACCGATGGTTTTCTTGTAGATTCTGTAGTTGCTGCCTTAGAATCTCTGCCTCCCTCTGCCAAAACTATAAAAAATCAATTAAAAATACATCAGTAATACAGAAGGAAAAGAAATGCAAGGAATCTTTTTTCATCCTTTTGAATTAGGTCACCGAATGCTTCAACATGCCCCATAATGAATATGAAATCACTATGATGTAAATTTAGGAGCTGATAGTCATGTTTATAATAAGTACTATCCAGAAGCAACTGTTTCTGTTTAAATTAGAATTATAGAGCTAGTATCTTGTTTCCATTTAGAATCAAATATAGAACCACTACAGGGAATCGTGTAAGACTACTCACAATATCTTTATAAATGTCAAGCAAAAAGCTGTAAGAGTTTGACAGGTGTTGCTTATATAGATTTTCATATTCCTAAGAAGTGAAGTTGTCTTAAATAGTGAAACCTAAGACAATAATATCAACTGCAGGAAAGACTTAAAATTCCTAATCCTGCAAAGTTTCCAAAAATTAACCATCACAGTAAAGCATCAAAATCTAACTCCAACATAAAATTTTACTATAAAAAAGCCTTATTTATTATTCACTCCCTGTATAGGATGCATAGGATGCTGTGGTGGTAAACATTTCCTTTTTCCTCCAACTATGAGTAAAAAAAATTGTTAGTATTTGAAAGAGAATGTGACCTGGACATAAAAGTCAAGGTCATGAAAAAAATAAAAACGAAGATCTAATTGAAGACTTAATTGGACTAATAATTATAAGAAGAATTAAAAAGGTTCAAGAAGTCTTACAATTGAAGGTGTCTCTTTTATGAGATACCCAACAGTCAAAGACCCAAGTAATTAAGAAGACTAAGCTGGTTACATGTGTATTGGGTTTGGACAGTTAAAATAAAATTAATTTAACTTTTTAGTGCAGATGAAATTTGAACTCAAGACCATTAGTTTAATATTTGATTAATTTTAATTCTTTTGAGTTTTTTTTTATTATAAACAAAGTCAAGCCTAATAAAACCCTAAACTCTATTTTTTTTGTATTTATGATTGTTGAATTGAGAAAAGAAGAAACATATGATTTTTGACAAAGTGAGAATATTTATCTGCTAGGATTCTTCCTTGCATATTCGATCTTATCAAGAATTTACCAATTCTTGTAGCGAGCGTACTGTTTGCGCACTGTTTCACACTATTCATGCATTGTTCATAGTACTGTTAAAAAAAGTTGAAAAAAAGAGAGAAATATTTTAAAAAATGAAAAAGAAAAAAAGGTTGAAAAAAAAAACTAAAAGAAAAAGAATTAAAAAAAGGAGAAAGAAAGAAGTTTTTTTTTTAAATAAAGTTATTATTTATATCCAGTGCAGTTATTTTAGCACATCAATTATTTGCTAAAATTCTTGTTTCAATTATGTTATTTAAATTCGTATGGTCTTACTTGTTTCTTGGTAGCAAAATTGTTCTTTGTTATTTCTCTTTTGTGGATACTAAAATTTTTTATTTACTTTTTTTATTTTTTTTAATACTGTCATTACAATTCTTAAGGGTAAATATTGATGGTACATTGTTTACTTATTGTAAGAACCTCAAGTAGAGAATGAGTGGTAAAAGACAATGTGATCATTGATAAAAGAGTCGTATTGAGTGAAACACGAGCGTGAAGTGTATACACGTGAGAGAGTGTTGTGAAGATAAATTTATTGTTATGTTTAATCTCTTTGTTGAAGCATGACAAGAGAAATACTAAATATTGGAATTTCACTAATGTAAATGTAAGCTTTGACATAACATTTGGAGAGACTAATGAAACAATAAAGTGATGGACTCCATGATAGATTTGATCAAATGGAGCAAACATAACAAGACAATCATGAAAATAGAAGAGGAGAGGGCAGAATGAGGGAGAACAAAAGCAACCTAGAGTTGATGCAATCAAGTTAAATATCCCAACATTCAAAGGAAGAAGTGATCCTGAAGCTTACTTGGAGTGAGAGCTAAAATTAGAATATGTGTTTGCTTGCAATTAGTACAATAAAGAGCAAAAGATGAAATTGGCAGCAGTTGAATTTTTAGATTATGCCTTAATTTGGTGGAACAAGTACTAAAGGGAGAGAGTTAGAAATGAAGAACCCATGGTGGAATCTTGGAGTGAGATGAAAATAATTATGAGAAAGAGATATGTTTTAGTAAGCTATAATAGGGATTTGCAACTCAAACTTCAAAGGATGATTCAAGGGAATAGAAGTGTGGAGGAGTATTTTAAAGAAATGAAGGTGACCATAATTAGAGCTAATATTAATAAAGAGAATGAAGCAACCAGGACTAGGTTTTTGAATAGGTTGAACTATGATATTAGAGATATTCTTGAGCTACAAGAGTATGTTGAAATGGAAGAATTGTTGCATAAGGTTGTTCAAGTCGAACAACAACTCAAGAGGAAGAGAACCATGAGAATGAGCTCTTACAATAATAACTCTAATTTGAGAGATAAGGTTGTGAGAGATAAAGGAGTTTCACATGATAAGTCACTTAACAAATCCAATAATTCACCACCGAAAAGGAAGACAAGTGAAGTGAAATGTTTCAAATGCTTGGGGAGAAGACACTATGCTTCAGAAGGCCCAACAAAAAGAAATATGGTTATGTTAGCAAATGGAGAAATAGATAATGAGTCATCAAGTGAAGAAGAGAAGGAAGAACCAAAGATGAAATTAAAAGCATTGGAGGGTGATTTGTTGATGATTAGACGATTTATGGAAAGTAAGATGCAGGTCTTTGACCAAACCCAAAGAGAGAATATTTTCCATACTAGATGTTTTATTCAAGGGAAAATATGTTCACCCATAGTTGATGGAGGAAGTTGCACCAATATAGCTAGCTTAGTTACCAAATTGAACTTGGAAATAACACCATATCCTAGGCCATACAAACTTCAATGGCTTAGTGAAGATGGAGAGATGATAATGAGTAAGCAAGTGAAGGTGAACCTATCCATAGGACAATGTAATGACAAGATTTTGTGTGATGTGGTTCCAGTGGAGGCAACTCACATTCTTTTAGGGAGGTCATCGCAATATGACACTAAAGTTATCCATGATGGTTTTACTAATAAAACTTCTTTTGAGTTTCAGAAAAAAAAGTGGTTTTCAAGCCTTTTACACCTAGAGAGGTATGCGAGGATGAAATCAAAATGAGAGAAAAGATAGCAATAAAGAGAAAGAGTGAAACACTTGAGAGAAAAAAGAGTGAAAAAAATAAGAGTGAAACACATGAGAAAAAGAAGAGTGAAAAGAACAAGAGTGAGACATTTGAGGACAAACACCTTTGTTTAGCAAGGGAAAGGGAGATACGGAGGGTGCTTTACGGAAGACAACCCCTCTACTTATTGTTTTGTCAAAGTCAGATTTTACATGTTAATTAATTTGGCAAGTTTGAATTCTCTTATTGTATTGAGTCTCTTTTACAGGGTTGCCAAGATATTTTTCTTGTGAATATACTAGATGGTTTACCACCTATGAGAGGAATTGAGCATCAAATTGATCTCATTCCTGGAGCTTCTCTGCCCAATCGACCTGCATATAGGAGCAACTCACAAGAGACCAAAGAAATTGAAAGGCAAGTGACAGAGCTCATAAGCAAAGGTGGGTGAGAGATAGCATGAATCCGTGTGTTGTACTCGTCATTCTAATGCCCAAGAAAGATGGCTCATAGATGATGTGTTTTGATTGTAGAGCCATAAACAACATCACCATCAAGTATAGACACCCTATTCTCAGGTTAGATGATCTTCTTGATGAGTTGTATGGTGCGTGTGTGTTTCTAAAATTGATCTAAAAAGTGACTATAATCAGATTAGGATTAGAGAAGGTGATGAATGAAAAATTGATTTTAAAACAAAATATGGTTTGTACAAGTGATTGGTTATGTCATTTGGTTTGACTAATGCACCTAGTACTTTCATGAGATTAATGAACTATGTTTCAAGAGAATTTATTGGCAACTTTGTTATGGTGTACTTTGATCATATTTTTATCTATAACACTAGTCTTGATTTGCATGTTGAACATTTACAATCAGTTTTGACTGTGTTTAAGAAAGAACAATTGTATGTTAATCTGGAAAAATGCATATTTTGTACTGATCATGTGATATTTCTTGGATTTGTTGTTAGTGCTAAGGGAGTATAAGTAGACGTGGAAAAGGTTAAGGCCATCCAAGAAAGGTCAACACCTAAGACAGTGACTGAGGTGAGGGGAATTCATGGTTTAGTAAGTTTATGTAGGAGATTTGTTAAAGATTTTAGTACCTTGGTTGCACCCCTAAATGAAGTTGTTAAAAAAAAAAAGTGAGTTTCACATGGGGTGAGAAACAAGAAGTCTTTGTTGCCCTTAAGCATAGGTTAATTAATGCACCTATTCTTGTTATGCCTAATTTTGCAAAATCTTTTAAAATTGAGTGTGATGCATCTAATGTGGATATTGGAGTTGTTTTGTTGCAGGAGGGTCATCCCATTGCTTATTTTAGTGAAAATTTAGGTGAAACTGCCTTTAATTATTCAATTTATGATAAAGAATTATATGTATTGATTTGAACTTTAAAGACTTGACAACATTACCTTTTATTCAAATAGTTTATCATTCATAGTGATCATGAGTCCTTAAAATACTTAAAAGGACAAGGTAAGCTTAATAAGAGGCATGCTAAGTGTGTAGAATTTCTAGAGCAATTTTCATATGTCATCAAGCATAAAAAGGAAAAAGGGAATATAGTGGCCGATGTCCTTTCTAGAAGACATGCATGTTTTCTGTGCTTGAAATTAAATTGTTTGGTCTTGAATATTTGAAAGACATGTATGTGAATGATGTGGAC